CGCATCTCCTGTGGACCCACTGTCTCATACCTCGATCACCTCCCGGTCACTTCCTGTCTGATAACCTACTGAGAACGATACTAGAGTTTAAAGACTATGTATGGATCATTGCTATTTCTGCGGTTCCCTTAGGATATTAGTTCCGTGTAACTATTCATTTACTCAGTTTTCTACCTCTTACTTTCACTTCTTTCACACTCTTACTAATCTCTTTATCCTTTTTCCTATCTTCATACCAATATGGCTATGCCATTAACACTTATACTTCTCGGCTTTAATGATAAGATTTCGATAAGTCTAAACGACTGTCTGATATTGCGACATCACTATCCTTAGACCAGTCATATGTCCAAAAATTGTGTGCAACTACTCACTGAATCTACTAGAAGTACGACAAGTTACTAACTAGATTCACGTCAGTCGACCTACTCTAGGTTTTAATGAAACCACTAGAAATTGGAGACAAGCGAATTCAGCATGCCAATAAACCGACTGATTGGGTTAAAATACCTCAATAATCACAATAGTCTCCAACTAATAATCTATTGTATTGGTTTCTGTAGACTTCCGGTTGATGTAAAAAGCTAAATATCTACTGCATAACAATGAAAAAAAAAGTTAAATTTTGTTGTAGATGCTTTTTTATGCATGGTTAACACCTTTTTCAATTAGTAAAATGATTCCCTCGATGTTGCTTCGTAAAATCTTTTTTCTTGTGTGTACCCTTCCAGTCCATGCTCTGTTGGAACCAAATCTTGTAGTGAAGATAAAGATTTTGCAACAATTGGTTCGATATTATTTCCTGACTTATGCAAATCCCGTTGCAGTCCCTGTAATATTCATATTGGTCTACCATTTTGAAATAAGACAAGACATGCTAACAGTAAAGCAGATAATGCACTAACGTTTGCAAAACGCTTAGCTGTCTAATACTGTAAACTAGGCAGAAATGGTGTCAGGTTTTATATGTGAACAGACAGACAAACCGACCTAGAATCTCACCAAAAATGCATCAGTTCAAGTTGTTACACTTCATAGGGGCATACAAAAAACAAGTGAATCAAAAAGAGTGATATTAAGGCAGAAAAGTGTGTGGATGGTAACAGAAGTAAAAGAAGGTTAGTGAAAATGTCCAAACTTCTGAAGGTGACAAATATCATATACATCTGCACCGTTGTGACTGATTTTCAACCATGTCACCTAGTGTCTCCGTTCATTGATTCCTATTGTCTTGAGGATCCCAGCTAGGCAGTCTAAAACTCCCTACACATTTCAAAACGCTAATCAAGAACTTCATGGAGTGTTACGATGTCTTAATCTCGCTGCTCAACCGTCTTGCAACCCAATCCTGTTTTGACAAATAGCGCACCTTTAGGTGAGCAGTAACTTGTCATGCGCAACACTTATCCACGCCACCTCAATCGGTAAAGGTTCACAACTTCATCAAGCAACCTTCCTTACCTAATATCCTACACCTAAATCTGGTTTTGCCCACTCGGTGATTGGGCTACATGTGGGAAAGGCTTCAAAGACACCTGTGGTCAAAACCTGTGATCTCTTTAAGTCTTATTTCAGGATCTATGTCTCAGCCAAGTAGTAAGGCAAACTAACTGCAGCGCAGTATACACGTCCTTTGTTAGGCATTCAGATGTTCCACCGATACGAGAGATGTCGTAAGTTGGCAAATGTCAAACGGATGTTCTGTATCCGATCTGAGGTTACGTCAGAAACGAACCCATTTGGGTTAATTCGACCTCCCGTGTGAGCAAAGTTGTAGATACATTCAACCATTTCACTCTCTATCCTTGAACTAAGAGTTAGTGCAAATTAGTCTTGAAGCATCATCTCACATATGACATGCACAAAATAGATGCCAAACCTACTCAGATTTCTATTCACTGCCTTCAGAAAGCTTTATTTTTTTAGCGGCTTGGGTTAACAGGACAATGTCATCTGCATACTACGAACCAACCAGGTGCCTTCTGGGGTGTGGGTCAATCCTCATGAAATCGGAGTTGCCTAGGCTTATCCCAATTAGCATATCCATAATAAAGTTGAACAATAACAGTGAAAGCCGTCACCTCTGGTGGGCATCCCTGGTTGTCGTTACTTCGGACAAAAACTCCCCATAAGTTCTTACACGGTTGCATGATTTCAAATAGTGAGCTTGGATTAGCATTACAAACTTTCTTAGCACTCCGTTTCCAATGAAACATTAGCAAAACGCATGTTGACGGACAGAAACACGTGTGACTTCAATCTAGGAAATATGGCAAGTTGTGGCCGTTGATAAGTAAGTCTATGTTTCAAAACCTGTCGAAGGGTGAAAATCTGGTCGATCCATTATAGACCGGTCTGAAACCTGCGTGGCCTCAAGTTTGGTGTTCTCGAGCTGTTGCTGTGCGTCCATTTAATATTGACCCTACTGTCTTAGATACGATACAATTCTCCTGCGATGATCATGCGAAGACTTTTCTCCTTTCCTGTAAACTAGTCTGGTCAGCTATCTAGACCAGTCTAATGGGGTTACTTCTGATTCCCATAAGTCACTTAAAAGCTCTGTTACTCCACTTGGTAGTTTCTTACTTCCTTTAAAGGCTTGCGGCAAACAGTCTGGTAGTGCTGCTTTACGTCGTTTCAGGTTTGAAACAGCCTTATCAACTTTAAGGAGTTGTAGGACCTACATCTCTGTCCCATTCAGGATCGAACTGAATGCGTTTCTGTGGGTCATTTGAAATGTTCTCCAGTGTTTCGCTGTGCGTTGTAGTTGTCTGTCGTGAAAGCTCATCAGACACCCATTCTTTTCGGCAATGTTTTCAGTAACCATCATCTTCTTGCCAATTACCTTAATAAGCCTGAATAATCGCCGAATGTTACCTAGTACTGATGTATTCATCTCTTTCCTTTGCCACCCACCACTTATGGTCATTGTGAAGACTGTTGATTTACATTTAGGTTGCTTTCGCTCTTCATCGTAAGCAGAATCAGCTGGAATGAGTCTGCTTGCATCTATGAGTTCGGATGAGATGCGGAGATCCATTGATTTTTTCTGACTTTAGCTGTCGGTTACCAACTGTATATACCGCTGTTTCTACAACAGAGTGAGTATCACTCGAAGCTGTATCCAGACGATAGTTGCGCCCGTTTTGATAAATACCTAAGTATCTCCCTAAACATGCATATGACGTTCTCATCTTTCGATAGAGAGCTCAAAAACTTCACTACTGCCTTTTTCTCGTGCCCATCAAGCCGTAAACACACGTACCATGCTTAGTCATGATCGGAGTCCGAACAGGCACTCCAGAAATAGTGGCTATCCTCTACCGATCCTGTCTCACTATGGCTTAAAGTAACATGATCTACCTGCGTATACTGTTGATAGTTGTCATCCGACACCTAACTGGAGCTTAAGAACAGCAAACTCGAGAAAACCAGGCAACTTTCAGAGCTGGACAAAGGTGTATCGATCATATTTTCACCCTCCGATAGGTTCTAGATCACAGGCATACCTACCGGCCAGTGGTCTACAATTGCCATATTTCCTAACCTGAAAGTGGCATTTGACTCAGTCGACTGTGAAGTGTTGTGATAGTGTCTGATTGTGAAGGGAGTACCGAGCAAGAATATAACGCTAATCAAAGCTCTCTACTCGAACTCACTCAGCCGTATCAGTGCCTATGGATAGTTGTCATGTGAATTGACGACAACTTTCGGTGTCCACCAAGAATGTTCACTGTCACTGTTCCTATTTAAACTCGTCACAGACGTACTGGTAGACATAATCTTCGGTACTTCCGACTTCACAGGGATTGATCTACTCCTTGGAAGTCATCTGGTTAACTGAGAGTAAGCAGACAAAATTGTCCTGTTAGGTGAAGATGCTGATGAAATGCAGTGTGTTTCGAATGTGTTTGGCATGCGTTTTGCTGGCACCTGTCAGATGTAAGATGATTCTCTAGGACTGGCCTGCAACTACTTCCAGTTTAACGATAGAGGGTGAAGTGTTGGGAGGTGACGACCACTTCATTTACTTAGTGAGTTGTATCACCCCCGAAGAGCTGGTCCCTGACGAAATCTCAGTTGGAATACAAAGGCTCGTTTGGCACTTACCAACTGTCGTCATCTGTGGTGCCTACTGGCAAGATATCCGACTATCTATCAAAGGATGAGTATACTACTCTGTAGTTTATTCTTTCCTGTTATACGGTTGTGAGATATGACAGTTAAAAGTAGAAGACATGAAGCGGTTGCAGGGTTTTGATCACAGATACTTCCGTAACATTGTTCGCGTTTTGTGGAATCACCATGTGAACAATGTTGAAGTCAGGCGAAGGGTAATAGGCAAGAAAGACGAGTCGATTGATGAGGTTGTGAAGCTTAGTTGACTGACATGGCTTGGACATGTGTTGCGCATGCTGAGCCACCACCTGCCTCAGCATGCCATGCCAGAGAAACCTGGGTTAGGTTAGAACAGGGTTCAGGTTGGCCTGAAGATGTAGCACCAGTGAATTAAGTCTCTGACTGTTGCTTTGAGCCATGTAGATGTAGACTGCGTGGTTGGCGCCCTCGAGACTATAGGAATCAGTGGTTGAGGACTCCTGGTGACATAGCTGAAAATCGGTCACATCGGAGCAAATGTATTCACTCGTTGACATATTCTGAAGCTTGAGTATTTGCATTAACCATTATCTTCAGATTGCTTGTTCTCTCTCACAACTTTGTCTACTTTGTTATCACTCTTTTCTTATCCGCTTGTTCTTTGTATACTACTGTGAAATGTGGCGACTTGAGCTGGTGCTCTTGTGTGCGAGGTTCTACGTTGATTTTGTCACTGTCACATTGTTGGTTTGATTTTGGTAGATGCCAATTAAGACAGTGTCTCGCTATGCTTGAAGTTGGTGCCTATCAGAACAGAGATAGTTACCGTTGTTGGTTCACTGACAAGGGATCCCGTAGATACTAAGATGCTTCCCCTATCGACTTATCTTTCCGACTTAAGTGTTAAAGTCGGCTGCCGTTATGAATGTATCTCAACGTTTTTCTTTATGCAGTAAAATTAATAGTTTCTGATCGAATTCATCCTTTGTATCATATGAACTGTAGTCAGTGGGCAAAGACTATGAAGAGACGACGATCCATGTGGGTGGAGTTGACTATCATTGTGAGAACTCAGGCTCAATCCGGTGTACATCTGGTTATAAATAACCTTAATGCAAACTTCAGATCACAGATATCAGAATGAGTATTAGTTGTTTTTATATAACATCTTTATATTCACATATCTGTGTTACAATGCTTGTTCGGAAGGTTATTTCTGTGGCAAACTATGGTAAGTAGTAATTTCCTGCTCAAATTCACCAAAATACTGACTTAATGACAAAATCAATGTAGGACCTCGCATGCAGGCTCACTGGTTCAAGTTACCACACTTGACAATACAGAAAGAACAGGTGGGTGGGAAGGAGTAGTATCAAAGATATCAAAGGTAGTGTGGGAGAATGAACAATGTGAAGATAAAGGTTAGTGCGAATATTAAAGCTGTAGAAGAATACTGACATATTGCTGAACACTTTACCTGTCCTCCTCCCTCTGCCTCACCATGACACGGTTGATTATACAGGTTCCACGGTTGTTTGTTCCTATTTACGCAGCGCCTTTAGGTATTGTGCCAATGTCTACCAAATTTTTCGATCAAATACTTATATAATGAGCTTATGTAGTTTAATTTACTCGTTGTCACTCCTCGTTGTTAAAGTCGAAGTCCTATTGATATGCACTTAGAAACTTTGTGCCGCACCTATTGCATGAGAGTTAGTGATGCTACCTGGCTGCTTATACCTCAGTAGGTGGACCGGAGTTCGAACCCATGGCCCTAAACTAATCAAATATAGACCTTTGGCAGGTCCATATGTAGTGAACCTAACCACTCTTCCGATGTAGATCGGATAAACCCAACTGGCAGATATACTGTTCCAGTTTTCTGGTAGACTTGTTTATTTCTTAATACAGTGGCACTGTTGATACCAACAGTTGCTGAGTCAAGGTATATTGGCTCATATCGGTTGTGAGCTAACGAATGCAGTGTTTTAGTGACTAGACTGATGTAAAGAAATAGGTGAGAATGATGGAGAATTTGTGGGGTTTGGAAATGAGGATATGCAGAAACAGTTGGGTAACTAAATAAAATTATTCCTCACTTATTTCTCTTAATGAACTTGTATAACATGATGAAAGTACCATTTGCATACTGAATAGAATATAATTCATAAACTAAGGGGGCTATGGTAATACTAATAATAGAAAGTGTGGTGCAGCAGTAAGTAGAGCATTTGCAGTGCCAGTTTGTTCCTTTAATCTGATTTGTCCTTGAGTGAATCGTTATATTGTAGTGTGTGAATGTTAATTTCTGCACTATGCACCTACTTTCACTCATCATATCCTTGATTTCTATCTGGAGGTTTGTGGAGATTTTTCATTAATTAATTTTAGGTTGGAATTCATCACGGACTGACATCAGTTGGAGAAACATTAGAAACCTAGGAGCACTGGACAGCTGTTTCGTCCCAGTATGGGACTCATCAGCAGTACGCACTTATGATCCCGCCCGGGATCGAACCCAGGGCATCCAGGTCCCGTGGCCAGTACGTTAACGTTGAGCCAATGGGTTGGGACCCAGTAGTCCATATTTTTTACTTCTATCAGTTCAAGATATATGGCGACCTACATCCATTGTCGTCGTTTAGTAACTGTCCTCATGTTCGACTTGGTTGACTCCACTGGTCGCGACTTCTCTTTGGGACTTCAGGAATCATCTCTCGAATCTAGTCACCAATGAGCACTAGATTAATTCTATGCATGGTTTATTTTCATTGAGAATCTGCATTGTGTATATTTACTTTTTTAAATGTATTCCTATATATTCATTGAAGACGTGAAAATCCTTCAGAATAGTTTAAGTCTCTCCAAACACGTAAGCATATTTAGTGTTGCTCTCAATTCAGCCAATTGGCATGAAAGCTGATTAGTAGGTATTAAGAACGTCTTGGTTTCTAACTGCATTATTAACTTGTAAATTCCGGCTAATTTTACGATTCGGGCACGCTTAGGATAATTACAACTATTGAAAGGTACAGCTATGAAGCTTAAAAGGTATTAACAATGTGCCCCATGTTAAGTCCTATGTACTTCTCAGTAGGCCATTTTCCGTAGGTTTTACTCACTAATATTCCTACATACCGAAATTCAGACAGGGAGATGTTGACTCAGTCTTGTTCCATTTTAAGGGCTCTTTGTCTACCGCCTGAAAATACAATTAACTTAGTAAGATTTGTAAAACAACCTCATTAAGTGGTTTGGAACTTAGTAATTGTAGGACTGGAAATTGTCTTCAATTGTAAAGGCAAATGCATTATTTATCTTGATGTTTTATGACAAATTGATTATTCTTTATGACTTCATATACAATGTTGATTTCACTCACTTGATTGAATCAATTTTTTGTTGATGAAATTATCATTTTGTATTTTAGGTTGATGGTTTTGATTTCACATTCTTTTCCAATGTCCAGTTGCATCCAGAGTGAGAACACAAACCGTAGTGGTGATACAATGGTTGATCATTATTGTAACTCGTTGAATATCCTGAAAGAAAAAGTTATGGTAAATTAGTTTACTGATTATCTTATCGTTATTTATGAAGACCCTTATAGAACATTATCACTCCGTGATTGTACAAAAAATGGAGTGTGATTTGGGAAAGTAGGTATATTCATGTGATAACATATTATATATTATTGTTTCGTCTCGATAAGGATACTTGTATTCTAATTATTCGTTTTCTTACCATTATAGCGTGAATAGTTCATATACTATGATAAAAATTGCACGGATGTTTCTTATATGCGTAGATAAATCCATGAAGGAAATAAATTACACTTCACGTTATATGAATAGCCTTTGAAAACCTTGTTTCTTTCCGCTTGATTTTCTTGTACTGTCTAGGAAGATTGTCCAGATACTTTCGAGACAGAATGTAAAGGTAATGCCTGAATTGAATTGAAATCCACTAACACCAATCTCGTGCACATTTGTACAGTAGGCAATGAACCACACCAGTTGTGTGAGGCTCCTCGAACCCCAGTGGGTGGAGCAGTGTTAGAACCCACGTGGCATTGGTTGGAAGTCAACTTCTTAAACCAATGGACCTTAACTCCTATAAAGTAATACCGAGTTGCAGCAAACTGCATTAATGTGATGTGAATCTCTGAAGTGGAAAAAAGGTCAATATATAGTAATAACCGTTAAAACTTCATGACAGTCGATGTTTTGCATATATAAGTGTAGTATTAATGATGGATAGTGGCTAGCAGTGGAATCTAGGACGTACATTCTCTCCTATTTGAGACTCGTCAGCTGGATGTATCTGCCTCCCAGTGAGTGATGTTGTTCCCACCGGCATTAAAACTCGGCACCGACCGCTTCAAACACCAAAGCATTATCCGCTAGATCACCGAGCTACGATAGCCACTTCTTGTACGACAGGTATATACAATTGAATTACAGGCCACATCGAGGCATCTGTACAGGAACCTATATGCTATTAGAGACCGATCAATATACACAATAGTGCGACTGAATAAATACTTGCAGATTAATGGGTCAGGCAACCAACCAAACCTATGATGCGATGCTTAATAGTACTGGTAAAACCGTAATAGAGACGCCAGTGTCTTGGTCTATGTGATATTTGTTGAAGTCTGTTTCCCTAAGTTGAAAATCCTCAAAACAAGTACTTTTATTGCTAACCTTTAGGAAACAATAGTATTTTAGTTTTTTTTAGTACTTATTTTCCTACTTTTTACTGGTTAATTTCTTTGTTTCACCTTCCAAGATATGAGTCAGGTTGATCAGTGACTTACTGTCTTGATGATTCTTACTATCCGGAAAGAGTTATTTCTTCTTTAATTTCTTTGTGACAACTTTCACATAATCATTAAAATATTGTACACATAAATGGTAAAAATTTCATGGCTACATTCGATTCGTCATGCAAAATGTTGTGATGCCCTGGTTTTGTATAAAACATTGTTATTGATCTGAACATTTTAACTTGTCATTCCCATACCACTTTTTACGGTATGACTAGTCGTCTATTCTCCGTCCCCATTGTAGTGTAAATCGCTAATTGGTTAATCTTTTACTATGCGAATTTCTCCAATTGCGGACAAGGTGATATTTTATGTGTATACCTATTCACGTGCTTTGGATTGATTGATTATTATGCTCTCGGAGTAATAAACTCTCACATCTGTCAGCTTCGGTCTTCTCTCTATTCATCACGGGGTTGCAGTCAGTGGATCTTGCGCACTAAGTTAGCTGTCAGCTAAGTGTGTGTATCCTGTTATTCGGTATATATATATATATATATATATATATATATATATATATATATATATATATATATATATATATATATATATATATATATATAACTATTAGCGTTCGAAAGTATAACAAAATTATTTTTAGATTATGTTAAAATCACTCAGAATTTCTGTAAAAGTTTCCTGTTCAGTGTTATTTTTGAATGAGTGTAGTGATGAAAAGGTGCGCTAAGCATTTATTAGAATTACTTTTGATAAAGTTTACGCCAGTAATGCGAAATTCAGAGTTTACTGATTGATGTGTTACTGCTTTTTCATTGTGTACAAGGCCCGCATAATAACCTGCAAAGTTGTACGAGACAAATTTTTCGCAGAATCAAGTAGTACATCAGTAAAATTTAGTTTGTTTCACTGTTCTCCATGATGTATAACCGAATAGGACACGAACGAGAACGGTCCAAAGCACCACAGTGTTTTGTGCTACTTGAGTGAAGTAAATTATAGTACTTTTTCAATAAAAATACCCCTGTGTATTTTTTATATCAGTTATACATGAAAGTAGGAATATGAGATAGGTATAAGTAGTCTTTTACTTACAATTGTCGGCCAGTAAAGTTGCTGATCACCACTTAGCACTGAACTGTTTTATTTTGTATCGGAATTAGTAGCATTTTGTGGCTGAATGATAATAATAATAATAATAATAATAATAATAATAATAATAATAATAATGCTAAGTAGCGTATAGTCTCATTCACGAAGCTATGAGCAACACCTAAGCCTCCCTAAGTAGTGTAATTCAAACCTTCAATCCAGTTATTCAAGTGGGATTTCTGCCAACGGTAATGACCTAAATACTTGGCTTAAGATGACTGTATCCTTATGGTTTAAACTTTTACTTCACCTACTTGGCTCTGGGTATGATTTATCAATCTCTGCACTATATATACGTAGTCCGCATTCAAATGTGAAAAAAATATGTATAACTATTAAGTTGGTTTTTCATATATTTCGATTGTGTAATTATTTTGTCTAAAAACTGTATGCACTCATCTGAAAAAGCAACTTATAAGATGCTGTATGGTTTGTTCACTAAGACTGACATCTGTGAAATTAGTAGACTTGGCATAGTGTACTGTCGTTTACTATGATGCCGATTCATACATGACACAACCGGGTGATTGCAGATTATTTTACTTTCTAATTTATTTTATGTATCCTCACTTTCAAGCTTCATATAATCACCTTTGAATATTTCGCAGATACGACTTTTATAGACAGTTTTAGAAGTTGATACTTTCATTGTATCGTTTAATGTGACAAATCCGGATCGGATTCAGTCTGATGGTATTGTGTTCTCTGAATTGGATGGTTTTATCTTAAAGTCTTCGTTGGGATTCTAAACAATATCAGCACAAACTTCAGAGAGAAGTGAGATAGTGGGTTTTCTTCACAGGTGGCTTATTAGCTCGTCTGGATGGTTTTGTGTGTGATTGGTTGTTTCTGTCAGTCTTGTAATTGTCTCTATTTATTTCGATTGGTTGTTCTGTTGACGTGAACTTTGACTTTATTGTTGTTCTTCACTGATTGGTAGATTGGGTCAGTACCAATATGTCTGTTGATCGCTGACTGACCTGAATGTCAAGCTTTTAAAAATCGCAGGTTTGTATCGATCATGAATTGACGTCAGCTGGAGGAACATAAGTTATTTTCCTGCTGTTTTTCGACCACTGTATTCACACTCTAGTTGTTAGGTTTACTACCCAAAGAAATTTAAGTTGACAAATTAGAGGAATTAAAGTTGAATTTGATGTTATTATGTTCAATAAAAGACTAAGTGATTAATTACCTATCTACTAAACGTTGAAAAAGGCATTCAGATACCTATCCAAGTCAGAGAAAGTGAAGTGAATTCGAGCCGGCGACCCAATGATTTTAAGCCAGTAGCGTAGTACGCCTGGTTTCATAAGTGATGTAATCAGGTTGATAAACCTCGGTATACTATTTGTAGAGTCTGTTGACCAATTTAAGTAAGAGTTAAAAAGAATACACGGGAATTTTTGTAGTGTTGTGTTATGAAGGTTATATTTGTACTAATGATGTCAATTTCATAACTTTTAATAACTATTTTCATTACATTATTTCATAGTTAAAATAATGCAGTTTTTGTTTTATTGTGTTATAGCTTACTCACATATAATGCTGATGGATTTCAAAGTCATTTGGCAGATGTATTTTCCCAATTAAATGATGTTGAAGTTCAGTTGAATAACTTGGAGGCATGGGCTGGTCTGCCTCCGGAATGTTTCACTTCAGCTAGTATGAACTGTGGTGTCCCAGATCCCGACCAGGCGTCTCATGAGGCACAAACTCTCGTAGAGGCTATCCGACACTTACAAATTGAGTTACGTGGAATGGTAACAAAACCTACCAATCATAAGTTTACCGTAAGTGGTTCAGCATCAGTCTCTACGAATGAAAAAAATGATAGTTATCAAGCTCATACTCCTTATTCAGCTGCAAATACAGTGACAGGACAAAGTCCTGTTGTATGTTCATCCATGAAATCAGATACTACACCATATTTTATTCAGTCTAGTACAAATATCTCACCGTCTACAAATGATGCAAATCAAAGGTATTCTGACTCACTACCACAAGTGCCATCTTGTTTTTCTTCGAATGAAGAAAGCCGTATCTATCCTTATCCAAGCAATCGAACCTCATATAATTCTAATACCAGTTCGTTAACTCGTTCACCAAGTATTGAGAGACGCCAACAGCCTGTTGCCTCAGCTGATACTTATCGCACTTTATCTGGGCACCACTCATCAGTTTCTCCTTCTATCCCGCCACAACATTATGTTCCTGCTCAATACAGCGGACATTTTCCTATGTCTACCTCTGTTGAAACAATCCCTTCTAACCGAATAAATTCAGAAGCATATTTACAACAAGCATCACCGGCTACCTTACCAAGAACTGGTGAACTGTACCCACCGAGACCTTCACAGTAAAATTCTTTTTATTGAGTTAAACCGAATGAAGTAAATTTAACTTCTAACCAAAAAAAAAAACAACTGTAGAAATGTATTTGACATAAAAATCAAAAATAAACATATTTTTAAAATTGATTTCCTGTTTCCTTATTGCATATTTTTTCTTTCGTACTAGTATAGTTGATGATATTTCTAAGCAATCATTATTTAGAAGTGTGTTCATTTTACATAGACTAGAAGGAATCCCTGTGTTTTTTCTTCGCCTTAAAGTACACAGAATGCATAAATAACGAACTGAGAAAAGGTTAGGGAAAGATAATAAATGTTCACTATTCTACTATATAGTTTGTATGGAATCGATTGGCTTGAAGATATATTTTAAGAATCGCAAACTGACTTAATTTGGATGAAGGTGGTATATCCAGGTCTAAAACAATTCTTTTCCATAATCTCACTAATGGTCTTGATGAAAGAAAACGATTTATTAATCAACCAACTATGAATTCATTCCGAGTAGCGATTCAACATCTGTTAGTTAATTTTTATTAAATTATCAGTATTAAAGTGTTAAATTTTCTGACTTATATTTTCTTTGCATAGTGTGTGTGATAAGAAGATAGAGTTTGTTTGAAAAAGTATTATGTATTTGCGCAATACATCACATTTCTTAGATATACTTTGTTTTCTTATTCCATTATGAAACTTCATCAAAGGGATTCATTGTTCCTAATTCATATTTTCTTGTGCTTAATGAAGTTAACTGTGTAAATGGATACTATTTATCAGACTATTTGTATATCAGTTTACAGTTCTATAGTATATGGTGTAAACTATCAGTTATTATAGTTTCACAATTGTCTCTGTTTCACTGTCGAGTTTAAAAGTATTGGTGGCGTATGAGAAAAGGAATGAAAACAGTAATGTTATGGTTTTACTTACAACCTAAGACACCTTATGTACTTCAATTTATAAAGATGTGAACGTTAGCGACTAAGGATGCTAATACATATGCTCCAAGTGTGGGGAGATATAGACTATCTGTCTGGGTTCCCCGAAACGATAGGAATTAGTGATTGAGGACTCTTGGTGACATGGCTGAAATTAGGTCAAATGACGCAGATGTATTCACCAGTTGACATCTTCTAAAGCTTGGATATTTTCACGAACCATTATCTTCAGATTGTTTGTTCTCCCACACAACTTTGTTTGCTTTCATATCACTCCTTTTCTATCCACTTGTTCCTTGTATACTATGAAGTTTGACAACTTGAGCCGATGCACTTCTGTGTGAGGTTCTGTGTTGATTTCGTCTGTTCGTCTATCATGTATGCTGATCCCTTGTCACATTCATCACACATTTATTACTCCTGGTTGATTCATTTTCCGACTGCGTTTGTTTTATGTAGTTTAGTAACTATAGCCCTGACTTCTGGAGACTTTATGTAGCACTATATCGGTTTTAATGAAAAAGGCTGATCTAATCCTTTAAGAAATAGATTTTGCTTTAGTTTTAATCTGATCATCTGGTATCTGTTGTATTGTTCTCCTTAGGTACTTATCCACCTAACTCATTCCATCACATTTCTCTACTTTGCGCTGTTGACAAGTTCATATGTATGAAACCAAAAAATCATTGTACCAGATGTCTACACTTTTGCAGACCAACATTCACATAGGACTTAACTCTGAATGGTGCCAATGTTTTAAAATATATTTCATCTATTAAGTTCGTTGTGATTCCCCTAATTTATGAAATATATAACTATGCACTATGAAAGCAAACAATGTCATTTCCATTCTCATACTCCTATCGTTCACTTTTTAGCTCGGAAATAGGGCTACATCGAGTATTTCCATTCATCCATCCAAATCAGCATATTATCGGAGATTACTGCGTAACGGTCCGAGTCGCCACAGCTCATGTCAGTACATCAAGTAAAAAGGCAGTGAGGTGGAAGATGCAGAAAAGGAAATTCAGTCAAAACAAAGTACGAAAAGGGAGAAAGAAAGAATGAGAAAATGGTATAGCTTTGAGACGAGGATAATGTGTGTATGCATATGCGCCACTAACATCGGTTCTCAGCCATATCACCTAGAGTCTCCAACCACTCGTTCCTCTTGTTCCGCGGACCCCAACCGGCTAGTCTGCATCGCTCAAACAAACAGTCAACGATTTCATGTATTGACGCCATGCTCTAGTCCGGCCGTCTCGGGTCTTTTTCTAGCCCGAACCTACTTCGACTAACATTGTGTAAGGAGGTAGACGGCGACTAAGGCATACGGAATACATGTCCCAACCATCTCAGTCGACGAAGGTTCACAACCGCATCAATTTTCTTACCTCTCCTGCCTAAAACTCGACGTCTGACTTCTGCGTTACTCATGTGGTGACACCACGGAATACGGCCTATACTATGAAGGCGACGGTGGTCAAACACCCGGAGCCTTCTCATGTCTTCTACCTTTAATGGCTATGTTTCGCACCCACATTGCGGAACAGAGTGGACTGCAGCACAGTACACTCGACCCTTAGTAGACAATCGGGTATCACGGCGGTGCCACAGGTGGTGTAAGTTGGCAAAAGCCAACAGAGACTTTTGTATCCGTGATGAGATTTCATCAGCCACTGAGCCACCAGGGCTGATCCGACTTCCCAGGTAAGCGAAGTGTTCAACACCTGCAACCGCTTCACTCTCTATTGTTAGTTGGGGTACCGTTGAAGACTAGTCCTCGAGCAACAAATTGCACTTGGGTGGCGAGAAACGCATCCCAAACATTCTCAAACTGCAGCTCAAGGTGTCCAAAAGGTGCTGCATCTTGTCAGTTTCCTCACCCAACTGGACTACATCATCTGGGTATTCTAGGTCTACTAAGAAGTTTCCAGTGATCAGGTTAACCTCTGTTCATTCATATCAAGTATTTATAATTACGTTTAATGCTCGTCAGTAAACCTTGAAGGGTGTGCTTCATCATTTTACTAAATTATATATAACCGTCATAGAGTTTTTTTTCTCTGAAATTGAATTAATTCTTTATAATAATTCTGCTCTTAATTTCAGTTGTCTTCAAAGCTGTCATCCTATTGTTGGTGTGATAGCTACTTCCTGCTACATATAGGAAAGTTTAATAAATTACTCTCAAAATCTCTAAGCATTTCAGTTGACTGTTTATCAGATAAGCAAAAGCACTGGAGGAAACTAGGAGTTAAACCGGATAACAAATCAGGATGTCCTACTGTCTATTCAGAAGTTGAAACCGGAATGAAAACTGTCATACGTGTACCTAGTCAGCGGCTTGCAGCAAGGACTAGTGGAGGTTCAGCTGAGGCATATTTGCAACCGGGACCAATTAATATTCGTTATAATCCTCGATTGTATGATGGTGGTTTACTTCCACGACTGGATTATACAGATAAACAAGTTATCCTTCCTGATCACAAACCACGAGATATGTGGGCTCCACATCGGGCGTATTTCGGTCAGAATGACTACATTGGTACGTTTACTACTTATATATGAAATAAATTGTTCACATTCTGTCATATGTTTTGTTACCGTTTCTACGAAAATGCCCGTTACCTTCAGTGTTGTCGTAACAGATTAAAGATGTGTTATAGCTCCTAGTATACAACTTTGCTCATCGAATTTTTTTTAAATTGGTCTTCAAGATGTCAAGTCACAAGAGTATATAAAGCATTTCCAAGATGAAGCTACACTAATTCATTGATTAGTTTAGAGTATGGTTAGAAGAATTAAGCTTTCTGAACGAAGTTACGGATCCGTGAGTATAAGTATTTCTGATCACCGAGATCCCTCTCACGTATAAAAGAATCTAATCCAAATTTTGATGTTCTGAGTCAGAAATATTTTCATTACTGAAACTTTAAATAAAGAACTACATAAAGCTTCTCGTATGAGAGTAGTTATCTTAAGAAGTTTGTAAGGATTGCTCAATGAAAACAATTGGAAGGAATTGGCTACAGATGATTTACAGTAATGATTATATTTCGCTTCATTGTTTAAAAAAGATGCAGCTGCCAACGCACTGACTCAAATGCAAAAAACTAGCGGACCAATCTATTGCTGCGACAACGGTGTGTAAAATTTACTACTCGCTTAATAATGTCAGTGCAGTTGGGAGATAATTTAGTGAATTCGATCACATCTATGCGTAGTGGTAAATTTAACTGTTCTTATCAACATAGGTAAATAGGCAGAAAAACTTCTCATATAACCGCCATCGCTTTACTAAATACTGTCCAGTGTGGTCAGGTTAAGGAATAATAATGTTCTTTAAAAGCTCGGTACTTGCCTATTAAGCAGATATGGAACACGACATTAATAAAAGTTTTGCTCTTTACCATTCTACAAAAATTGACATCGTAACTCTCTAAAACGTTTACACTTCTGATTACTAACTATAACATCCTAACTTCTAATATACGTAATGTCTTAATTCGGCCCGCTTCTCTTCTATAACTTTCATATTGATGTTCTTATGGAGGTCTCCTTCTCGACATCTGACTACTTAGGGATTGATTTGATCACTGGAAACTTCTTAGTAGACCTAGAATACCCAGATGATGTAGTCCAGTTGGGTGAGGAAACTGACAAGATGCAGCACCTTTTGGACACCTTGAGCTGCAGTTTGAGAATGTTTGGGATGCGTTTCTCGCCACCCAAGTGCAATTTGTTGCTCGAGGACTAGTCTTCAACGGTACCCCAACTAACAATAGAGAGTGAAGCGGTTGCAGGTGTTGAACACTTCGCTTACCTGGGAAGTCGGATCAGCCCTGGTGGCTCAGTGGCTGATGAAATCTCATCACGGATACAAAAGTCTCTGTTGGCTTTTGCCAACTTACACCACCTGTGGCACCGCCGTGATACCCGATTGTCTACTAAGGGTCGAGTGTACTGTGCTGCAGTCCACTCTGTTCCGCAATGTGGGTGCGAAACATAGCCATTAAAGGTAGAAGACATGAGAAGGCTCCGGGTGTTTGACCACCGTCGCCTTCATAGTATAGGCCGTATTCCGTGGTGTCACCACATGAGTAACGCAGAAGTCAGACGTCGAGTTTTAGGCAGGAGAGGTAAGAAAATTGATGCGGTTGTGAACCTTCGTCGACTGAGATGGTTGGGACATGTATTCCGTATGCCTTAGTCGCCGTCTACCTCCTTACACAATGTTAGTCGAAGTAGGTTCGGGCTAGAAAAAGACCCGAGACGGCCGGACTAGAGCATGGCGTCAATACATGAAATCGTTGACTGTTTGTTTGAGCGATGCAGACTAGCCGGTTGGGGTCCGCGGAACAAGAGGAACGAGTGGTTGGAGACTCTAGGTGATATGGCTGAGAACCGATGTTAGTGGCGCATATGCATACACACATTATCCTCGTCTCAAAGCTATACCATTTTCTCATTCTTTCTTTCTCCCTTTTCGTACTTTGTTTTGACTGAATTTCCTTTTCTGCATCTTCCACCTCACTGCCTTTTTACTTGATGTACTGACATGAGCTGTGGCGACTCGGACCGTTACGCAGTAATCTCCGGTCCTGTGTTGATCTGAGTGATGATTATGATGATGAATTATCTGTACAATAATTTCCTTTCTTGATCAGATGGGATAAATACTAGTTTTATCTTTCCTTTTTAGCTTTTGTCATGATAAGCATGCTTTACTCCATTTTGATCCTAATTTTATATTTTTTCTTAGTTTCATAATTGGTTAGGTTTTCGCACGTTTTATAATCTAATTCACTATATGACAAAGAGCTTTTTTGCTCTACTCTATTCACAATCCACACTGATTGACTGCGGAGATTATATGAAATCTTGCATGATTTTGTCATGATCATTGTTACCTTTATCGTTTTTCTGTAATTCCTACACTCCGACTTGTATTCCGCTTACCATGGTGGTATATAATATCACCATGTAATTCTTTAGGTTTTACTCGGAAGTTCTTAGGCTGTATAACCTATCAAGATATTTCAAGACCGAACTGTTATCTAGTGCTATTTACTTCATTTCAGTTCTTCACACTATCGTCCACTTAGTAATTAAAATCATATGTGAAGTATGACTTAGTTAAATTGATTATGGTCAAAGTAATCTTCACCAGAACCTCTATTGTTGAAGTGTTGGATTTGGAGGATTTCTGTGTAACTAAGGTCTTAACCACTCGTTTTTCAATCAACCAATCCTGGGTTCAAATGCTGCTCCATGTACCCTGACCTCAATGACCGGATGGTATCTTAAGCTGTTAATGATTAAGTGTGGTTTACGACTTAGTAAATGAAACTCTACTAGGTAGCTGACTTGCATTAATTTAATTGGTTAGCTTACTTCTGTTGGATGCGTAGATTATATCCAGTGGGTTGTATGGATTAGAAACATTTTCGAATTATTCATAATTTGATTTTTTTATAATATGAACTTATTGGTTACTTAGTTTCATATCACACTGAGAGAAATTGTTTCGTTTGATCAGTACATCAAGTGTCGAGTATAACGCGTAAAATTGATCCATTATACTATCTAATAGATGGATTAAGCTTTGCTTTACGTGAATCCCAAAGAAAATGGAGAATATGAACTGAATGAAGATGTGATGCAAACTTTTCTCACTTAGGATAGAACTTTCGACAAGATACGTTATCATTATATCCTCTTTGAAACAAACCGGTCTAACATCAAGGTTGGGTTAAGATCAATCAAGTGGATGTGAAAGGCTTGTATGCATAACTACAGCACTTCTCCACTAATCAATTAAAGTCAGATAGGATGACCTCAGATTTTCAATCGTTTCATCAAGGACTGACAGCCTGTACTTTTAAAAAATAATTTTGGTATAACTAAAGAAGTGTGTGTAGTTTTATGCAATATGCAACGATCCACACTTATTGTGGAAAGTGTTATGATACTACTACTACTTTCTAAATCTTGTTGGGTGAACTGGGCTTACAGCTTCATGATAATGAATTGCTTGGAAGTTGGCTACTTGTACCGATTGGTCAAGACTTTCTAAGGCGTCTATATTACTTTTTGAAGTAGAACAAATTTATGATGTTGCTTGTATTATCCCGTCGTTGATTGAACCAAATTGATCTGTCTCTAGTGAAGCGATCGGGTTCGAGTCTTAGTGGGAACAATATCGCTCACTGGAGGCAGGTACGTCCAGCTGACGAGTTCCAAATAGGACGAAACGCGCGTCCTGAATTCCACTGCTAGCCACTGTTCATAATTAAGATCAAAGTAGAACAAATAAAAGATTGGTTAATATCGTAGTGCGATTGATTTTACTAATCATTCCAAACTATGCTCATCTTAAGTTTATAATTAGATGAGACATTTTCCTTTCAGCTGTATCTGTTTATGTCCAAGTGTTTTCGACTGTAACTTACCAAATATCTCTTTAATGCTGACCTTAGTTACTGTTTATGAACCGTATTCTACTTGTTCAGTTATTCATCCACTGATGCACTATCTTATGTTACCTTGAGTTGTAATATCTAAGTGCTCTGGTTGCAAAACAGAATAGTTTTCCCCCAAAATAAATTAAACAAATTGTTAACAGTTTACATTGTACCCAAGCAAAGTCGTCATTGGCCAATATCCGAAGCTGCTGATTGGCAGTTCAGTTGAAATTCACTTTGTTTATCCTTTGGAGTTCATTTTTAGGTGTTTTGCTTTTCAACTGAAAAGTGTTTAGTTTGGATTGGTTATTTAGTCCATCTGACTTGAATAGGTTGAGAAAGCATGTTGTAGCCTAAAAGATTTGTTATTTTTAATTAGCCTGGCTCAAATGGTTTCCTGTGGTTAGATTAATTAATTTCCAGTTTAATTATATCTTAAATTGCCTGGTATAGCGGTTAAGCACCATACAACAGTTAGCTACGATTTCACTTGTATTCTACCCTTCTTAGAAGAGTAATGTGGATGGATAAGCATGAGCTACACACCGGTGTAAAAAAGTCGGAGAAGGATGGTTGTCTGATCTACTCGTATGGGAGACAACTAACGCGATGGGTGGAACACTTCGAGGAACAGTTCAACTGGCCTCCAGCTACTTACTATTCCTTTGCTTGCTATCCAGTCGGATCCTGAGTGGGATATCATAGACTCTTAATACCTACAGAAATCGTGAAAGCTGCAAGCAGTCTGAAATGACAAAGAGAAGCCATGTCAGACGAAAGAGCAGTAGAAGTATTCAACGATGGTGGTCGATTATTTCTGGCCGGGACAACTGAAATGTTAGCTAAAGTATGATAGTCATATGATCTCCTCCGACTGGTGTCAATTACTTATTGTTTCAGTCCTCAAGAAAGACAAGAATTCCCCCTGTGATGATCACAGGGGAGTCAGTCTGACGAATAGTGTCGAAGGTTAGAGCTTCTATAATCATTAGACGTCTGAGTAGGGCTTGGGAACAGTGAACTACTCAATGACGTCCGATACTAGCTGTATTTTTTTAAACCTGAAAGTGATATTCGATCACGTCGATTAAGAGGTCGTTTGCCAGTATCTCTCACTGAAAGGGGTGGTGGGTAAGTATATCACTATGTTGAAGGCTCTGTGCTTGAACACCCGTACGTGTGTTAGAGCTTGTAGTTAGTTATCAGATAAGTTGTATGCTTCGTATGGTGTCGGTCAAAGTTATTCAGTCCCTCTATTCTCATTCAACCTTATCATAAACTTACTTATAGAGGTATCCATCTCGTTGTCTGACTTCACATGGATTGGTCTTATCACAGGATAATCCTTAGTAGATTTAGAGTACGAGGATGATATAGTCCTGTTAGGTGAAGATGCTGACAAGATGCAGTTTCCTGGACGTATAGATTGGCAATTTCGAGAATGTTCGGGACGCCTTTCCCCCTATCCAAACCCAAACTATTGCTCCAGGACTGGTCTTCTTTGGTACTCAGTCTAACAATAGAGAGGGAAACGGTTGAGCGCGTTGAACACTTCACTTACATAGGAAGTCAGATCAACCCTGATGGGTCAGTGGGGGACAAGATCTCTTCATGGATACAAAAGGCTGGTTCGATGTTAACCAGACTGTGCCATCTATAGCACCGCTGTGAAATCCTATTGTCTATTAAAGGTCGAGTGTACTATACTCTATTTCTCTTTGTTCTACCATATTGGTCGTGAAAGATGGCTGGTAAAGGAGGATATTATACGGCTTCAAGTGTTCCACCACCATCGCCTTCGTATCGTAGACCGTGTCTTGTGGTGTCACCAAGTCAGTAATGCAGAAGTCAGGTGTAGAGTTTTAAGGGGGTGAGGAAAATCACTTGATGGGGGTTGTGAACCTTTTGTTACGCATGCCTAGTCACCGTCCACCTCGTCGTGAAGTGTTAACTGAAGTAGGTTTAATCTGGAAAAAGGTTAGATGTGACTAGACTAAAACATAACATTATCGCATAAAGTCTTCGACTATTAGGCTGGGCCATGTAGGGAAATATAGATTTCCCGGTTGAACCCTCGTGACAGCAGAGACCAGTGACGATGACATGGTTTGGAATCGATTTCAATGGCACAGATGTATCCATCCACTTATCCTTAACTTAATCCTCATACCGAATTCACCATTTCCTCCTTCCTTTGTTTTGCTACTTTGTAATACTTTTGACAGGTTCTTTTTCATCTCTTTATTGCTCATCTTAGTGGATTCTCGCTTGATGTGTTGATATGAGTTGTAGCAACTAGGATCACAATGCAGTAATACCTAGTCGTATGTTGATCTTGTCTGTCTCTCTGACAAACCTTTAAAGTAAATTGCACATTTATAACACTGTCAAAGAGTTTAGTTGGTGATGGATGCGGATCAATTACAGATTCATTCAGTAAGTGGGTCCTTAGTCAGATTTGTTCAAAGTAGATGACTACATACGGCTTAAGTCGTAACGTCGTAAATTTATGCTTAACCTAAAAAATTATTTGCACCTGCAATCTAAGTCTTATGAGATGCAGTAATGATAGATGGAGTTATTCACTAGGGTTTTGAACTACACCTAATTGTGTAACAGTCAACTATACAGGCTGATTTCACAAAGCCTGTCAGATGGAGTAGGTTTCGAACGTATTATCGAATGATATAACGGTAAATAAACTACTATGCTTGCTTCCTATGGTTGGTAGTGACAACGGCAAAATGTACAGTTCTAACGCTGTGCATATGATTCTGACTTTCGATACGTCTGACTATCTGAGTATCGTTATGCTTGCCCACGTTTTTACCACGCCTACGAGTAATCAACAGGACTGAACAACCCTCTAACTAACAGTCTTTACTTTCTTTATATTGGATTTATCATCTTGATATGATTATGAGCAATAAATTGTATGCAAGATGTCTTCAGTCGATAATACTGTTTCACTATGTAATATATGTATGATAAAAGAACTGTAGTGGAATTATACTCTACCACGGCGCCCAAATTTTACCCTTATGTGAAATTTAGGTACTTCAGATAGCGTTGTTTGGTAAACTTTGGTATTATGCAAGTATATTGACTGAGGTTCACAGAAAACTTGGTTTTTAAGTAGAATGCCAACCAACAGCCTCCGGAATTGACTCGGTGATTAATCCTATAAACTATGAGGTAATTGGATTCAATACTTGGTGACTAAAATCAAATAAAAGCCCATTTATCATTTAGGATTTGTAAGTGGGTGTTAAGGGAAAACAAGAAAATCTATTTGTAGGTCACTAGTTCATTTTCGGATTTGGATCCAATTTTGTTGAAGATGTAACAATCTTTATGTAAGTAAGTCTGAATGTAAACCCAGACAGAAAAAATCAACGTACAACCACGCACACAGGTGGATCGGTTCAAATTGCCACACTTCAAAATAGTATACAAAGAACAAGTGGGATGAAAAGGAGTGATACTAAAGTAGACAAAGTTGTGTAGTCTATATCTCCCCGCATGATTCATACCAACAGTGAGAGACTTAATGCACTGGTGCCATATTTTCATCTGGCCATCCTAAACCCTCTTCCAGCCTAATCCAACTTCTCCCAACATGGCACATCAAGGTAAGCGGTGGCTCGGCATGGGCAACACATGTCCAAGCTATCTCAATCAATTAAGGCTCATAATTTCATCGATAAACTTGCTTTTCTGCCTAGTACCCTTCGCCTGACCTCAACATTGCTTACACAGGGGTTCCACAAATCGTGGACAATGCTACGAAGAAATCTATGGTCAAAACCCTATAATCGCTTTATGTCTTCTGCTTTTAACGGCCATTTATTCCAACCATATGGCAGAACAAAATGGACTGCAGCTCAGTATACTCGTCCTTTGATAGATAGTCGGATATCTTGCCAGTCAACGCCACAGATGACGGAAGTTGACAAATGCCAAATGGACCCTCTAAACGTTTCTCTATGTATGCCTCAGCTTCTTCAGCAGAACATATTCTGTTGTTTTGGCTTTCTAAACATGCTGGAATTATATTAGGACTTCCTTTTATTATGATCAAATCGGGGTCAGCGCTCAACTTCTTCCAGGACATTCGAAATAACTATGGCTTCTATGTTTATAATCTAAAAATCTTTCTCTGTCAGCCTTTCTTTGAATTATAACGATCTCTTATCTTTACATTTTCCAGCTTATTGTTGTTTTTATCATTTTGTTTATCTTAGATATTCTCGGTGATGGAAAAATAAAACCACGTGATTTTTACACTGGACCGCCATGGTTATTAGGCGCACAAAATGAATACCAACGCGTGTGTGGACGACTTAATAATCCAGCTATTGTAGCATGGATGAAAGAATTTGAACCGTCTCGATTAGAAGCTGAATATAAATTACAAAGATATTTATATAAAAAAGTAAATAAACGTAAAAATATCAAATTTCGGCGATATCGTGATGTACCTTAGATTTATTTGTATTCCTATCAGTTTTGAGAGTGAACAGGCTTTGTCTATTCTTTATGTGTCTGCATGTAAATATACACTTAGCGGTAACTGAACAAATAAATCACACCTTTGATTTACTTTTTTTATTTAACGAAACTGAACAAAAACAGTGGGCATAGTTCACCAAACATCGATCTGACAATGTTGTGAAAGGTAAAATAAAAAGTAATACTAGATGATACACGTGGTTGGACACTGCGGAAGCCGATCAAAAGGTTTCATTAGCCTTGTAAGGGTGTGCTAAACATGGCACAGCCATTTCACTTGTTTAGAGTGAAGTTTATCTGTGGTTTCCTCGGACAAACTAAGCTTCGATAGTCGATTTACTTATGTCCAACACCTAAATAGCTTACGAAGGCAGATAGGGATTATGAATTTGGGACTTGAATTTACTACTTATCACTTCAATTTGCTAAGCCTATCACATTTTGCCGAAGCGATAGCAAACCAAATGTTTGTTTTCGAAGAGATACATTTTTCAGCCCTGCATCTCCAAGGTAATTAGCTTACAACTTTTGTTGCGTCATTTTATCTTGCAAATTTTTTAATCTGTTTGAAGCCTTATTTTTCTTTATTTAAACGTTGTCCATCTTACTTTGAAAAATTTCGTAGTTACATAATCTATGATAGTTACTTTCCATTTCTAGTCAACTGTTGGTTCAACCTTCCTATCATATTGCTAACAATCTTCTCTACTTTAAACATTTGCACTATTCAGTATCTATGTTCCTGGTTGCTCTTGTCAATAACTTCATGTCAATTTGATATAAGTATGTTTAATTAATAAAAGACAATTCGACGAGGAAAATTTCCTTTTCGACAAATCATTTAAAAAAAATATGTATGTCCATCAATGGCTTATGGGTCAATACAAGGTCATCAAAAGCGGTCACTACTAGAGTCACAAGGTGATAACGGCTAGAAAATCAAATGAAAGACATCAAAAATTGCTTATAGAATTGTAGTAAATAAACACAGAAATGAATAAACTGTCTTAGAGAGATTACGACCAAGGCAAAACTAGAGACTGAATGTATCTTTTTTGAACACAAAGAGCAGGTTTGTAGTACTGGTTTGCTAGAGCTTCTGTTGTGTTTAGGTGGCGAATAGGCATTCCCTTCGAAATGCTTGTCTTGACTTTATAAATGACTTTGAAGGAAAACCCTCGTGAAGCACAGTGACCTGAGATAACCAAATGCTCAATAATCAACCTGTTGACGGCTTTACACTGTCCTTTAAACAACCATTCAGGATAGTGTTCGGAGGTGTGTTTAGATATAACACTCTTTGTGTGACCTATGTAACCAGCTACACAAGAGCAGATGAATTGGTAAACACACGTGGTTGTGCCCAAAGTGGTAGTTTATTCTGTACACACCCTCGAATCAGTTGTTGACTGGAGAAAACAATCTGAAGCTAAGCGGAAAAGAAGGTCTTCAGTGCTTCGCATAGCCGTTTCTTCAGTATCTCTGCCAATGTAACTCCTTTGAATCCAATATTCATAAACAATGTCTTTTTGGAACCGTTGGGTTTTCTTCTTTGAAATTCTTAGGCTTCATGTTCTCAATGAATCTTGAAAGAAGGTATCATCCATGTATCTCTTATATAGATGCAACTGGTCAATCGGTGGACGCAGTTGACTGTTCTCTAGATTGACCATGAGCTCACTGCTACTCCATCCTTTTGTCGATAAAGTTCATTATTGAATCTAAAAAGGTACATTCATAGGAGCAGTTCCTTCAGATAATGTTTTGGAATCCCAATTTCAAGATTGTTGATCTCAATATAATCATATAGAAAGCAGGTTGTTTCCATCAAAGGGACAATTTTGATGATCGATGTGACGTCCAGTGATAACTTACGCTTACTATACACATTAACATCTCTAATGCAGTCAACGAAGGAGTCAGAAGTACTAAAATTAGTGATCTGATTCTGCACTGCTTGAAGGATTTCAGTTAACCACTTAGCAATCTCATGATATAATGAATTGTTCATGTCAACAATCTGACAAAGAGAAACATCTTTCTTATGAACTTTGGGAAGACCATAGAGTCGAGGAATTACTGAACCGGATGGTTCTAGTCTTTCAAACAGCTCTGTACTGGTGATCAACTCGTCTTTCATCTTCAAAATTTTGGCAGTTTCTTTCCAGTTTTGTTGGGTCTTTTTCCGACTCTTCCTTCGAGAATTTACTTTCATCTGCTAGTATACATGACACTTTATCAACATAGTCTTTGCAATTCGTGAGAACTATTCCTGAGTCGTTGTTTGGATGAACCAAAAACAGTTCCTTGTCTTTTAGTTCTTGTAATGTATGTAGTTGGATATTATTCCGATTGTAAGCATTTGAGTAGAATCTGTGAGATAATAAAAGTGAGCTCATATTATCCTGCTACATTTATTGTTTCTCCCCTGTTCAAGCTTTTCTTAATGGGAGAAACTATATGAAAGTTAGAGGCCTTTGTAGTTAGATTGTGTGTGTGTGTGTGTGTAGATAACAAGAGTCCTTACTATATATCAATAATGGATTGTGGTCTACAGTGGAGTTGAAGACGCATATTCCGTCCCATTTGGGACTCGTCAGCCGGATGCCCCTGCCTCCTAGTGAATAATGTTGTCCCCACTGGACTCGAACTTGAGTCCCTACTACTGTAAAACTAGATTCTCCGTAACTAACTGGTGGTAATATAGAGACAGTGAAATAATTCTATTCCAAAATCACTTGGACCGGTAACCATGACGCAGTTTATTGTAGTTAGTTGTCTTTCGGCACTGAAATATCATATCTAAAAATCTAAATTTTCCACTAGGTGGTTAGGTATTGCAGTTCGTGGCCTAACCTCTGTTTTTGTTTATTTTTCTGGTCTATCACAAGGTGTTTCAACTTGTTGAGAGACTTTCTTTCAAACTTGTTTATATTTCGTTCTTGAACAACTGAATAACGTCAGCCAGGGTTTTTATCAATATCGATAGGTTGTACATAATTCTTAAGTGCATTAAAATCGATTGAATAATATCACGACAGTTTAAAAAAGTTTTCATTGGAATTGACAAGCTAAAAAAACATTAGTCGCATATGGGGCGAGGTGAGCACTCGACTTTCTATTCCGTCGAATCGGTCATAAGAGTTTGTAGATAAGTAGGCAAAGTTTCATTGTTCATCAAAAAATGGAATCCTATCTTGGTACTGTTAGATGAATATTTTATTCCAAACATTATATTTACTATAAGTTAATGGGATAACACCGTTCCGTCGGATTAGATTAACAGATACATTTAGGAAACACTGACCGATTATTTCGTTATTGGTTGATGAACAGTTCAGTAGGGTAAATTAATTGGAGTAAAATGCTCTCAGCCAATCTGCACAGTCGTCGACTGACATTAACCCTAGCATATTTCATTTACAAGTGGAACATACGAATGTCCTTAGCTTTCTTAATTATTTTATATAAATATTGGAGATACTGCTCATTGACGCAAGCACTCGGTTTCAAGTTTGTACTCTCCATCGCCTACAAATCGCAGCTATCTCAGATGGTCTAAATGATAATCAATATGATGGTCCTCCTCTCTAATTTAGTTAGATTTGGATTGGGATGAGAAGCCATGACTGGGCAGCTGGTGTGAGCACAATCAAGAGGTAGTAACACGTCACGAATTGACATGGTAGTCTGTCAAAACGTTTATTGATTGAAGTAAAATGAAAATCTGGTCAGCTGTTAGATCTCGTAGCTGAGTTAGTAGAGCACTAGGTCGGAAACCCAGTGGTTTGAATCTGGCGGCGGTCCAAATTTTCATCTTCAATTATCACCCAGTATATATGTATATTCTCACTCCTTACCTTTGGGATTTAAAAATAAATTAAAACCTATCAGACGGGAGCAGAAAAACTAAACATTAATCATGATAGATACAAGTTATCGTGATGTACAAGAAAATAAAACTCGGTAAATGTAGTCAGCTAATTAGGGAATACTGATACGCTTAACAATATCATAAATCACCTTATTAGATGAAATTGGTGATTTATACGATTGACCAAGATTCATTGAAAAGTTGAATTAGTTCGCTTATCATCTTCAAAATACAAACTCTTCTCTTTCTACGATCTTTATGTTGCTAAGATTAAGATGAAAAAATATCTAACTCAGTGACTAAATGGTCACGTGGCAGCTAACGCTCCTAAATCGGCTATCTCACGAAGTAATCGGTGTACAATACTGAAGAGTTTCAAACCAGGGTAAAACAGCTATCCTGTGCTGCCGAGTTTTCATTGGTTCTCCAGCTGACATTAGTTAGTGACTAAAACTACTTTGAATCAAGTCAATTTTTGCAAACTACTAAATGAAATTTAAGCCATCTGTTGTAGTCTAATTGGTAACTAGGAATGGAATCCAGAACGCCCATATCCTCCCATTTAGGACACTGGCTGGATGTACCTGCACCTTAGTGTGTGGTAGTGTTCCCACTGAGACTTGAACACAGTTCCAATCCCTTCAGATGCCAAAGCGTTATCTACTGGGGCACCATAGATTGTCTAATGGGTATTTGTAACTTTCCATTGCTATACTGAGCCGGACCGCTTGACCTGTGTTGGCAGACTGGCTCTCATGCGGATGTCTCGATATACTGAAGTCTACTTGATGTCTGGTAATGGAATCCAAGAAGTACGTTTCCTTCCGTTTGGGTGTTGGGTTCGAGTCTCTTTAAGATCAGCATCAACTCAGTGGGGTGCAAGTACATCCAACTGACGAGTCCCAGATAAGATATAACATGCGTCGTAGATTCCTCTACTAGACGTCAAGTAAACTAAAATATAATGGATATTCAGGCATCCGCTTAGGAACCCATGTACCAACAGAAGTCGAATAATTTAATCCAGTATAGCAACAGAAAATTGCAAGTATCATTAAATCATCTATTTTTGCTGTTTTATCCTGAACTATAAAATTTCAAAAGCGACACTTACCACTGAAATCTGAATATCCCTCCTGTTCAGTGAGGTAGCAATTGTTAGTTTCAGTTTGACTTCAGTTTTATATAAACGTTTATTGCATCTTTTTCGTTTCCTTCCCTAAATCCAATGCAATATCAGGTTGATATTGATCATGGACTGAAATCAGTTAGAGAACGACTGGAAATCTGGGACCATTAGACAGCTGTTTCGTCCCAGTATGGGACTGTTGGACATTACGCACCCATAACCTCTTCAGGGACCAAACCCAACACCTTTAGGTCCCACAACCAGCACGTTATCATTGAACCATTTGGTCAGGATCCAGTGGTCCCCATTTCCTACTACTGTCAGTTCACGATATTGTGCAACCTTCATTCAATGCATCGTTGAATTCCTGTCTTTACATCCTATTTCGTTTGCCGCTTGGTCACAACTGCTATTTTTAACTTCAATAAATTTCATCTCAAAGCAAATCACCAGTGAGCATTAAACAGTAATTCAATGTCGAAGTTTGCAGATATATTGGTCTGTGATGAATACCAGCTTGTCATCGATAAAGATCCTCACAAACCTCCACATTGAAAAAACTAATGGTTACAGAGCTTAGCGAAAAGGAAACGCTCTTTCATTCGTGTAATGTTTTGCATTTCATATCAAGACAGAATTTCAAAACTCAGAGAACACCAAACGATTATCATCCTCATCCTGAGCAACAACAAGTCTTTACCATCATTTCAGTTTAATTCATGTATCAAACAGTCATGCTATGATCTGTTCAGTATAGCAGAATTAGGAGTTCTGCTAATGAATAAAGAGCTTAAAAAAGACACTCACAGTTCTGCTTGGAAGTGATTAGTAACTCATATGTTGAACGCTGAATTGAATCATGTGTTCAAGGTGCCCCAGTGAAACCAACCACATTCTAAATTCTGAGTTAGTATTCATCGCGGACTAATATCAGTTGGCAAACTATTGGAGACCTAGTAGCACTGGACAGCTGTTTCGTCCTAGTATGGGACTCTTCGGCAGTACACACCCATGACCCGGCTAGGAATTGCACTCAGGTTTCACGGCGAACGCGTTAACTATTTAGCCACTGGGTCAGATCTCAATAATTCACAGTTTCCAGCTTCTTTGAATCCGCGATTTAGCGTGACTATCACGCACGGTCTTCAGTTGTCATCCGCTTCCCTTCCTGCTGGTTGACCCCACAGATCATGTTTTCTCATTAGAACTTCGGGATATCCATTTGGAAGCATATCACTAATGCGTAAAACCAGTCACATTCGAAATTGCCTGGTAATAAAACTCTGACAGTTTTGGTTTGTCAGTTTTGACCTTGAGACGGTTAGGACACATCAAATGTGCACATGTTTAGCCGAGATCCCTATTGATGTATCTATGCCCACATACCTAGTCTCTCACCCTATTTGTGTAGGTGACTGTGTAAAGGGAACAAGTAACAAGCATAATTCTTCCTCCAATCACAGGTGTAGTTAGACTAAGAATTTTTTGATATTTAAATTAACTTGCAGCTTTATCTGAATGTATATTGAGACGGTAGACAGTTTATATAAGAAAATCACTTCTGCACGTTTTTATATGTGAACACACACAATTGTGTGTGCTAAACAGTGTCTGTATATGCTGTCCTAGTTTATTGATTGGTGCAAAGAAATTTGTAGAATGATTTAAAACTTCAATTATGATTATTCCGATTATATGTAGGTAGATAGTTTGAAGAATCGTATTCCACTTTGAGGATCCCTAATGAGTTTAACCTGTAATATACGTAATTTAGCTGATCAGGTTAAAAATAAATTAGTTGGCGAACGTAGAAGATCCTCGAGTTCACATGATTCAGATAATTCTACAGAAATCACTGATAAACATCGCAGTCGTATTACTATTCAGCCTATTCAGCAGCAAAAACAATTAGATAAACAACATCGAATGTCTACTACAACGACGATGACGACGACAACAACAACATCTCAACAGCACAAAATTCGTGGACAAAGTAGTTCACCAAACAGTTCCCCAATAATTGATCCCAGTGATAGATCGATAGTGTTTGGACCGAAGACTGTGGATGATCATAAAAGATCACAAAAGCAACACCAACCTCAATTGGTGAAATCGATGTGTCAATGTCAAGTGAAATGTTCAATTGCAAGTCAAGCAGGATCCTCACCACCTAGTAGTAATAACAGAAATAATATTCAGTCTACTTCTCATTCATCATGCTTCCATAATATGCAGAAATCACGTAATACTTCCACAAGTAAAACGTATAAACAATCCACCTCCTCTTCTATTCCTTCACATGTTATTAAAGAACATACATGGAATTGTTCAGAAGATGAAACAGATAACAACACTGTATCAGAATCATCATTAAAAAATCATATATGCAATCAAACCCATAAATGTCATCAACACCACCAGTCTAAACAACATTTACATGTTCCAAATAATGAACAGTCAAGACATGATTTAAATCAGTAAGTAGACAGTGTTTTGTTTCAATGAAAAGATATTTTACCTTTATCACTTTGAACACGAATATATCGTTTGGTTGAATCCTGTCGCCGCTCATATCATCTCACCTCCAGTCATCACCCAATATCAATACTAGTCTGCCAAACCCTAGCTATCTCAGATAGTCAAAATGACAATCAATATGACGCTTACCCTTTTTAATTCAAGTAGATTTGTTTTAGTGTGAGAAGTCACGAATTCTCATGGTAGCCGGTTAAAACTCTTGATGATTGAAGTGAAATAAAAAATCTGATCAGCTGTTGGGTCTCATGACTCAGTTCGTAAAGCATCAACTTGGAAACCCAGTGGAAGCTGTTTCGAATCCTACCATGGTCTAAATTTTCATTTCACCTTCAATCATCACCCGGTTACATATATATCTGTAATTTTGCGTGTCCTTGTTTCTTTAACAATTCAGCCTTTAAGCAATTCATTGGTGATCTCCCTCTGAACAGATTTCTCTTGTGATTGCACATGGAAATTTCAAAATAAAGTCTAACAATTATCTTTTTATTATCAGTTTATATTGAACTGTGATAGTAAGAAAATTATTGAAACCCTCATGTAATATACTACTGGTTAACATGAGTGGTTATAAACCACTCACATCGATCAGCGCTGTTTGTTAACCAGATGAGAGTGATCGAAACACCGCATAGTTGTTTCGTTCATTTAAGGATGAGCTCATCAATGGATTGATTCACACCACAGAGTGGAATCGTCCGACCCACCCAGGTTCTGGCTACTTAAGTGAACTTATCACGCTTAGAATCAGATCAGGTGTTTGCAGTATACACAATCTGTGTTGAGAAATCTCATCGTAATTGCCATAGGAAACCATGCTGATTGGTGGGTATGGTCTACAACTAATTATTGCCTGTCCGTAATGTATTAAATACAGCTTCATGCTTACTGTCGTGACATCAATTGTGGTGTCAAGCAGATCACATTATATAATGTGAATATTTTGGTTTCCACAGAACAACGGACTGTTCATTTTGAAAGCATCTGATTCGATTCATCTGAATCTAGCCAAACATATTCAGAGAATGGTCTTGAAATATTTATTGTGACTGATTGACTGAGTGACTAACACAATCAACGTAAAACTTCACACACAGATACATCAGTCCAAGTTGCCACACTTCACAGTAGTGCACAAAGAATACGTAGATAGAAAAAGTGGTATTAAAGTGGATAAAGTTGTGTGAGAGAATAAACAATCTGAAGTGCAAATACTCAAGCTTTAGATGTTAAGCTATGAATATTTCTAGGCCATTGTCACCGAATTTCATCCATGTCAGCAAGAGTCCTCAACTACTGGTTCCTATAGTCTCAAGAACCTCTACCAGGTACCCGACATTTCCAACACAGCTCAAATAACAGTTAGGGAATTTATCGACTGCTGCCAGGTCTTCGTCTGACCACCCTGAACTCTGTTCTTACCTGATCCAGGTTTCTTTGGCATGGCATGCGAGGGCAAGCTGTGGATCGACATGCGCAAAAACCTGTCTAAGTCACCTTAGTGGACTGAGGTTCACAACCTCATCAGTCGACTTGCATTTCTTATCTAGTACCCTTCGCTTGACCTCAGCAATGCTCATACGGTGATTCCACCAGACGCGAACAATGTTATGGAGACATCCATGATGAAAACCGTGCAACCATCTCAAGTCTTCTACTTTTGATAACTATGTCTCACAATCGTACAACTCGACAGAACAGACTTCAGCTCAGTATATTTGTCTTTTGATAGGTAGTTGGGTATCTTGCCAGTCAGCGCCACAGGTGACGCAATTTACGAAATGCTAAATGCATCTTCTGTATCCGAAATGAGGTCTAGTCAGCAACTAGCCCACTCGGGTTGATGCAACTCCCCAAGTAGGTGAAGTGGTTGACGCATTCCACCAGTCTTAGAGCATCATTTAGCAGGTACAAAACTCATGCCAAACGTCTTCAGATTTTTGCTTAACACATTCGAAACACACTGCATGTCATCAGCATCTTCACCTAACAGGACAATTTTGTCTGCTTACTCTCAGTTAACCAGATGACTTCCAAGGAGTAGATCAATCCCTGTGAAGTCGGAAGTACCGAAGATTATGTCTACCAGTACGTCTGTGACGAGTTTAAATAGGAACAGTGACAGTGAACATTCTTGGTGGACACCAAAAGTTGTCGTCGATTCACATGACGCGGTTGCCTCAGTTTGAGTAGAGTGTTTTGATTTTGGCGTTATCTACTTGCTCGGTATTTCTTTTACAGTCAGATACTGTCACAGCACTTCACGGTCGTCTGAGTCGAATACCACCTTTATGTCAAGAAGTATTGCAATCGTAGACCATTGACCGGTATGAATGCTTGTGCTGCAGAACCTGTCGGAGGCGGAAAATATGATCGACGCACCCTCGTCCAGATCTGAAACCTACCTGGTTTCTTGAGTTTATTGTTCTTGAGTTCCAGTTAGGCGTCGAATAATTATTAACCATTAGGATCTTGGGCACAGTATTAGTCCAGCTAATTCTCCTATGGCTATCACAAAAGGACTTCTCTCCCTTCCTAATGACTTGAATGATGAGTAAAGTAGACCAATCTGACGGGACTACATCTGATTCTCATACACTACCTAGAACGTCCATCATTTGTTGTAACTTTAGAGTATTTCTAAGGTGTACGCCCCCATGATGCAGAAACACACCTATTTTTATCATCTTTGAAACTATGAAAAACATTTTATTGACCTTAATACATTTATTCTCACTTTTTATTATTATTTTCGCCTCACCATATTTCTGTTTGCTTTCGTATCCAGTGATATTGAGAAATATGACAAATTGGACTCATGCACTTCTTTGCAAGTGTCTACACTGATCTATCTGTCTGCCTGTACAACAAGTGGAAAAAAGCGGAGTAGGATTTACGCCTTGCAGTGGATTTGCATATTTATTATATTACGTACTCAGACAACATAATTTACTGTGATCATTTGTGTATAATTTATTACAAATAATCATATTGAGATGCCTGGTACAAGAATGAATCTGATACTTAACTTTCAGATCAATATGCTTTCAGTTTAACACAAAGCGACACTGAGTACTATAGCTATCTGACTAGTACACCATGAGGTTGTTATAAACAAAGTTTTTCACTTTTTAAAGTCGTTATTTATACAATGGCAACAGGAATACTACTGTTCCTATCTACGTCACCGAATTAGAAATAAACCCCAAAAATTGCTTGTCAACGAATACCGAGTATAAGGAAAGGGTAAGAAGTATAAAAAGTCAGGTTAAATCCCGATAAAAGAAGACTGAAGCCGGTAATGATAATAATAACTAACCCCTATCACTGTTTAGCATCATATTTTAGCTACGTGCAAGTCATTCACATCCGGCATACTGAAGTAATAAAACTTTTTGTTTCAGTCTTTGAGTTCAAACAAACTCATGTATAAATTAAGAAGTCACATTGGAAAATATTTAGCAAAGAAAACTATACTGTTTTGTGGACACCCAGAATAACTGATTGGGTATCTTTAAGATGTTTTGTGAACATAAAAAGATTGTAAAATTCATAACTGAAGTATAACAAAGTCATTTTTTGATTGTTGAAGCAATTTAAACATGTGCAGAGTATTGTCTTAGTAACAGTCATTATTCCATTATTAAAACTGAGCGAGGAGAACATAAGATTACCATGGTCTCATTGAATTATTGTAAGCGGAAACAAGTTGTTTTGGCAAAAATGGGGATTAATTTCCCTTAAAAAATATGAAAACTGTAAGAGGTTTGCTTTGAATGGAAACTTTCGTAACCTCAACTAACCCAGTTGCATATAACTATAATGACATCTAGTTAACTTTTCACTAAAGTGAATCATCAAACTCAATACTTGGTTCTGGACTGATTGACCTCTTTGAATAGTGGCTATCATACAGATCAGCAAGATGAATTTCAAAAGACTGAACTGTTGAACAACTATCTGTCCATATATTATTCAATAATGGCCGATTATCAAGAAAAATAATGAAATTAGACGGTCACTTATATGCCGAGGTGTGATAAGGTAGAATTATCACAGACTCACCTTTATATAACAAATAACTAATCAAAACATATAAAGGCTACATTTCTATTCACTTCGATACATTTCTTGTCTGAGGGATAAGGAAATCTTAGAAAGTGTTTATAACTAATTTCGAAAGCTAGACAATTCGTCTGAAAATTACCTACAAATTGCTTGGTTTGCTTTGATATTTTATGAAACCGAACAGTTTTTCAGCTACCCGACAGTGATGTCAATAGGGTTTCTATTTAAAATCACCCCGCTGAGATTACACAATGTGGTCTTTTATAAAAATGTCACAAACTAATGAGATATACCACAGAAGAGCATGAGTAGTTGGAAATTTCTGATACATCTGCGGATTTTTCCATCCAAATCAAACCACCAACTAATTTGACTCCAAACGAATGAAACAGCTGTCTAGTAATTCAGCTTAATCTGATCTGAATAGCAAAATCTGTAAACCAGTAGTATATTTCAGTAGTTTCAAAAGTTCATTTCAGATGCTTTTCATCTTCGTTTAAATAACTCCGTGAAAGTTGTAATGATGGCCTGAATCTTTATCCAATAACTTTGCAAGCCTCAACTTTGATTCAGAATATTTATAAAGCTGTTTCCTTTACTTTCAATGAGATAGTACAACCGGGGATCGGTCATGATTGTTGACAATTAAAACCGTCCAGATTTTAATTTTCGTACCAGTCAAGATTCCAGTATTACTTCTTTATTCCTTCTGATCAGATGGGAGCCAAAAACCTTATTAACTAATACTACAAATCAGCTATTTTAAGATAGTAAAATTGACTATTGAATGATAAAAGTGGCTGACTGACAATGATATCTAACGATGCGTTCTTGTAGAAAGATAAGTGTCTTGAATCTGACGGCGCCACCAAGAAGTGGACAGGTGCTTTTGACATTAGTTGAATGCGGCAGGAAACCCTAGATTTCGTGCTTTGCGGTACTCGTTAGTAAGACGTCTCTGCAATCTCGACTGGACTGTTGTCCCAAGTAAGTATGAAACCCGCGTCACCCAGTGATGCTATTGGAGACGTTACCATTAATCTATTCGGGCGGTGACTGACCTCCTGTAGGACTGTACTACATACACCAATTGGTCATTGGAAGGTAACCAGCCTTATGTTGCTAAGCCGTGGGCGCTGGTCGAATTCTATCGATTTAGAAGGCACGGAACCTAGATCCAGGGTTTCCTGCCGATTGCTTCCATCCAACTAACATTTCTCTCACTGAATCGCCACGGTCACTGTCCTATTCTGGTGACCACATTGCAGAACAATCGGTAGAATTCGATCAATACTGAGGATCAGACAACATGAAATCGGTTGCCCTCGAGTGACTAATTAATGTATCTAATCCAGCCACAGGTTGAATAGCTGCGTCAGTGACAACTCAGACAACATCACTGGGTAACGCGGATACGAATCTCAGGAGGGACATCAGTTCCAGTCTAGGTGGCAGATACGCTTTATTGATGAGTGTCAACAAGCGCAAAACCTAAGTCGAGTAAGGCTTTCTACCAATTTGCCTCCAACCAAATAACATTTATCAATGTACACACGATGCTGAGCATCCTAGCTTTATGGCTACGTTACAAAAATGATCGACAGAATTCGGTCTGCGCACAGGATCAGACAACACTAAGTTGGCTACCTCTTCATTACTAATCGATATACTTTGTATATCACTCATGAGTTGTTGACTGTCAGCATCTAAAAGTGATTTCAATAGGGTTTTTTGATGTATTAACTATAGATTGTTAGACATTATGTCTTGTAATTTTTTCGCTTGATTTCTTAAAAAATTCTGTAAATAATTTCTAGCGTCCTCATCATACCATTTTTTTTGAGTTTCTTAGCTCCCCTTCTTACTTCTTCTATTCATCTACAGCAGTGAATGTCAACGTGAAAGTAGAATAGCATCAACATCTCATGTTCATTCTCATTCATGTGACCAACATTCAGGAATTGATGTTAACTCCAATGCTAAAAATAACACTGCTACTACTCCTATAATGGCCACCAATAAAAGTAGTGGGAACAGTCAAATCATATCTGATAGTCTACAAGTATCTGGTATAAGTTTAAATCAAACTACTCATCATCCTTTCATGAATAACCATATACAACAACAGTATGGTTCTACATTCTTTATACCAGTTATTCCAGATTTGTCCATTCCAGAGAATGAGACACGTTCTGGTAGTCTAGGCAGTGCATATCCAACACACTGCATACCGTATCATTTTGGACATAGTAGATATGATTTATTTCATGGACACAACCGTCATCATCACCAGAATCAGCATCACCATCATAGAGACAATCATGGTAATAACAATATAATACTCAATAATATGAAATCAGTACACACAGAAAAATATAATAATCCAAGACTAACAATGAGTTATTCAGAGTTATTGAATTCAATGGTTCCACAAAACCGTCATCAGCAACAGTTCAATTTGTGTAATCATAATAATGAGGACAATTTCCAAGGATTAGATCATCTAACCAAATCTCAAGTTATTAATTCAAACAGCAGTAATAATATATCCATTGGATCACTAAACACTGATCAACAACTTACTGACGATAACAGTACAGAAGACAGGTCAAGAAATCCTAGAGTATTACTGAACAATTCAGAAATGAATGATTTCAACGACCCAAGTCAATCTTACTCACACTCAATACAGCCAATTTCACAATATAATTCTATTTTATCTTCAGATGATAAAAATACAACCAGTGTAGAATTGAATCCACCTGTTTTGCCTACACGTACAAGTTCATTAATTATGCATAATAAAAAATGTCATTTGTTGAATAAAACAATAAATACCAATTTGTCAATAAATACTGCATTACAATCATGTATAACTGCTGGGTCTTCGTCTGCTACTGATGCTACAGTTTGTTGTATGCAACAAAGTATGATAGATTATCCTAGTAATTATGATGTAACTAGTACACAGTTTATAATGAATAATCTTTTTCAATCTCAACAATTAAATCTACCTGAAAATACTCATTCACGTAGTCGTAGTGTACTTTCATCAAAAAGAAATAAAATAAATAATTTAAGAAACTATGAAAACACCTCAGAATCGATAACAATTAATACATCAACGGAGACTATTTGTAATAATGAACCACTGACAACGGTATACTCACAACAATCACCTTCACTGTCTCATCACGAATTATTACCAAGTCATAATAGTGAAGCAGTGAGTATGAATGAAGAGAATGAAAGGTCACTGACAGTTGCATCAAATGGTTCATCAAAAGAAAAAGCATCAACTTCTTCAAATGAGTCACCACTTATTTGTAGTAAGTCCTTCATTTCTGACTGTATTCCGACAAGTCCTTCATGTGGAGCTTTGGAGCAATTTATACCCACAAATCATGCTTCCAGACTACTTGGTCGTATGTCTGATAAATTACGTGATGGTCGGTTGGCAGACGTAATTCTTATCGCTGGAATTAAGTCAACCTCTGGGAATTTATCCTTGTCATCATCATCACCCTCACCATACACAAAATGTTTAAATTTAACCTCGGATCACATTCATACCTCGGCCACTAAAACCGATTTAAGTAGTGTAACTGGTGAATCAATTGTTCGAATACCAGCACATCGTGTTATATTAGCAGCAGCGAGTGATTATTTTGCTGCGATGTTTGGGAATGAACTGAAAGAAGCCTCAGAACAAGAGATTTGGATTCATGATGTTGAACCACACTCACTGAAGACATTGATCAATTATATTTATACAGGTAATCTGGTGTGGATTTCTCTTTTTGCATGTTATGTGAGAAGGGACATGCGATTTTTTATTTAATAGGCAGAAAGCTGAAATCAGTGTGAAGAAGGTTTGCTGATAACCACCTAGAGATACTAAGAAGAATGAAAACGGTTCTAGTAATAATACTATGGATGGTGCATTCTGATGAAATTCATGCGTGCAATCTCTTCCATATCTATGTCTTAAAAACAATAAATGTAGATAATGCTTTCGTTACAGACTAATCGAAAGTTAATCCTACAGCTATGTGAAAGCCTACTTGTGACCGTTATTGTAGCAGACGAAGACTATTCAGGTAGAATTTAGACTCTTAAAGTCAAGGAAAGTTCCGAGATTTATCTCCATAGAAAACGTTTATTTTTATCAACAAATGAATCAGTCGTGCATATAGTTTGGTATTTTTCTTTGAGATATAATCGGTAGTTAATATATGCAGGAGTAGACGGCGATAAACTAAGGAGTTTACCTTTGAAATCGACATCTCATGAAAAAAGTGAGAGCCATTAATCTACTGTATTATCTGCAACCGTGTTCAAAATACGGTTCTACCTGTCCTGGTATTCATACCTTGGAAAATTTGTTTCCTATCGGAAACGCAATCCCGAGTCAGTGAGTGCTGAATTTATTCATTTTGCAACTGCATTAATCAGATCGCGATTGACTTTCTATTGAACTAGAGTTTGTATTTGAAGGGGTTTCTGGGTGGTTGAACCGAAACTAAATTTTCCATAGTATAGACATTTTGAATTCTGCTGGTAGAATTAGATCAGAACTAAGGACTTAACAGCTACATTGTTTACTATTTATTGTTCAGTTCATGCTTTCAGCTCTTAGTTTGCTTTTTATTTTAGCAGTGATAGGTAAATTTCAGTGTCATTTAAAGATGAAGAAGTCTTGAAAACAACATAACCTTAGCTGGTTAGCTTAACCTGATCAAATAACTACAGTTCTTAGGAGAGATATTTGTCATTCACATACTACGCCATTTCCTCGAAATGGGACCTATAATCTTCAAAATCATCCACTCCGATATGATTCCAGTCTTTAAAGCGTAACTTGTACTTCTAGCTGGCATTATTTCGGACATTTATCAGCTTGATACCTATTTAAATGTATACTATACAGTTGTCAAATAGTACCCATGTAATATCAGAACCATATAAAGTTTCCTTCATACTGGTCAGTGAATAACATTAAAAACAATTTAAATCCATCTGATGGAATGACTGAAGCAGTAATTTATATGACACAATTACTGTGGGACTTTTTAATTCTCAATCTAACTGGTTAAAGAGGCGAACATGCGTACAGTTGAGAGCTAACGGAACGAAACAAACCAACTGTTCAGTACAGTGTAAAATTCAGGCACTATTATTTGATATAAGCTAAACTGTAACTACACCATTTCTCAGGTACTTGAAATGTGAATCAATTCGTTTACAACAAGCGACATTTAGGAAGACTGTCTTAGGTACAGTATAACGTATTCTGTGAATTATGTAGAAGGTAAACTAAACAATTCAGTTAGCCAGATATATACATAGAGAGGCTGAGACAGCCTATCAGTTGTTTTTTTTTCTTGCCTAGTCATTGTTTATCTTTGTAAATGGGAAAAAAGATTCTCGTGTTCATCTTGTTTACATATAATAATAGAATAATTCCTTTTTCTAGTTACCGTTTATTCAAAATGTATGCACAGTATTCAATTTTTTTCCACCAACTTTCTGTGGTTAGTATTAGTCATTGCTTTTTCTAAAAACAAACGAAATCCATAATTAGTTGCATTAAGTCTGTGAATATGAAATTTTCTGGTGAATAGGTTCCCGTGTCTCTTATATATATATATAGGTCAAGGCTAGAAGTCAAATATGTGATACATGTTTTCTCCTGTCTAGAAAATTATCTAAATGTTGTGTCGGTATTCTGATGATGGTTGGTGCTTATACTGATTATCAAACCTACAAAAATGCTCTACAAGCTTCCGAACATTGCCTGTCAAATCACTGAATCATAAAAGATTTACCCTCTAAAATCCGTAGAAATCTAATTTGAATTGAGATGAATAGATTCGTTCCCAGAAATATTTAGTGTATTTAAATAGGATAGGATAAAACGTAAATTCGCTATTCTCCCATGTGTAAAAAATTACATTAAGATGTGAACCATGGACCCGTTCCAGAATCAAGTGTGTTAAGAAACTTAAGGATAATGGTGGTATGGATCTTATATAAGTTAGTTTCATCATTAGAGTTCATTGTAAACGATAAAAATACAGAAATACTGGATAATTAGAGACAATCAAAGCAAAATTCCACTTAAATATGGCTTCTTATCTATCAGTACTGATGAGTAAGATGTATCTATAACCTCTCAGATTCAAAATGACATCGCCTCTCAATGATGCTATGTAACTGCTGCGCTACTGAGACCGCAAATGAACTGTAAACAGCAAAGGTTTTAGTAGCATTAATCTGATCTCTATAACTTGACCAGCACTAAACTGGTCTCGTTTTCTGTGAACAATTTATATGAATTCTAAAATACTTGTTATACTTACTACCCAGCTCAGGTGGCGATGAAAATCATTGTTTTTAGCACTCTACTTTGAAGCAGTGGTTTCATGGTTCCAAACTGAGCTCCCAAGGCCTCACATAATTACTTTGACTCATAGCTTAGTACATAAACTTGTACCAGATGGAGTTAGGCTACATTACATTATTACCTTAATAATTTGAAATCAATATAGTGTTTGAAGGTCATCATTAAAATATCTATAAAGGAGCAGTTTCTATTGTTGAGCTTATGGCTTTTCCTCAACAATTATAAATAGACTAAAACTGTTTCATACTTTTCAGCATAATGATAATCCAGATTTACAATATTGAGAAAAAAACAATCAAAATGAATCAAATTATTTGAGATGAAACAGTGAAAAGTTTAGTGTTGACTGTTGTGTAAATAGATGAGAAACATGTGAACATGAAGAGCATAAAATTATTGGATTTGAGGTGGGTTGTAAACACTTTAAGTGTATACATCTGAATTCAAGATCAGGGAAAAATAAACTTAATAAATGTAAAGTTTAGAGAAATTCTTTTGTATGAACAAGTGATCTTTGAGTTACAACTCCATGATATGGGAGTCCGTGGCAACTTTCGTCATCAACCTTGAAAATGAAAGGCCAGTGAGCCAGCCAAGAATTTCTTAGATAAATATTTATGAAACAAAGTTATTGTATAGAGATTTGATTAGGTCTGACAACAGTCAAAGGATTAAGTTTTGAGCATGATAAAAAAAAACAGGTTGCATGTTGTAAAAGACGTAGGAATCATTAATATATGAGCTAAAGTTACTGTGATACAAAATAAAGATATTTCAAAGCAGAAAAAACGACGACAGAGAATATCAAAGAAGAGGAGTTTTACCAACGATAGTAATGTGTAGTGTCCAACAGTGGAATCTACAAGGCGCGTTTCGTGTTACTTGGGACTCATCAGCTGGATGTACCTGCCTCCCGGTGAGCGATGTTGTTTCCGTCACGGCTCGAACTTGAGACCAGTCGCTTCAAAGGCCAGTGTCATCCACTGGTCCACTAAATCAAGTTAGCAGCTTCCTTTGCAGTGGGCACAGTTTTTATGTTATCACGTGTATTAGCCCGTCGATGACTGGACCCAACTGATAGGTCCGTATTGGCAGTTACGCTCTCACGCAGATGCCTCGGTATTACCTGTCGTTTCAATTTTATATTAATAATGGATAGTAATGATCTTATTAGTAGTTTAGGTTGATAGTACATACTTTTCATTTTGAGCCAATACAAACAACGTGAAGTGGTGCATTAGTTCCATCGTGTTTATTCTTACTAATTAGTCTGTGAGCGAATGAAAAAAGCATGTAGATTTTTATCAGGCTATTAATTGCGTCATTCGTAACGAAAAATTGTTGACTTATGCTTTCGTAATATGTATAACTGACCAGTTGAAGTAAAGGAGTACTGAATACTAGTTTGATAACTTTTATATCAAGTATTGATTATATTTCTTCATGAAAACCGTAAAAAAAAAGAAATGAGCACAAGCGATCTAGTTGACAACTCATAGATGTACAATAATCAAGAAAAATTGAACAAATTTCACATTACTTGAGATGGGGATATTAATTTGTGTAAAGTACCTCTTCTGTTTAAAATTATTCTACTATTTCAGGCAGAGTTGATCTTTGAGTTGAAGTTGAAGGGATATTACTGTACTAAGGTAGACAGCACTGTCACAGCTTCATAAAAGTGAAGTAATATACTCTCATACAGCTTTCAGTTTCAAACAATTTCTCCTCGTTATTCAGATCTGAAGGAAGGTAAGAAAGTAGTAGTAGTAGTAGTAGTAGTGAAAATTTCATTCATTTAAGAGAAAAAAAGTGTTTAGTCCTACATAATTCTGGTACACATCCCAGTTTCTTTAGTATAATATTCAACAAATTGGTTGAATTTAAAAACATCAAGGCTAACTTTATTTTTCAGTAGTTTGATATCCAAAGTATTGGTTATGACATTGAAGTATAAATTGTTGAAAAGCCCACAAATATAACTAAGCTCCTACTTAGTACTTTCTGACTTGACTTTTGATAGAAATCATTTCTCAATTGATGATTTCATTTTCTCTAATAAAGTTGTTTTTAAACCGATTAGCGAGTAATTTTCATCATTTTTTTTTATACATAAGAATCATTCACTTGGACGTTTAGTTTTATTGCTTTATGAGATTAAGAATAAAAACCAACAATTAACGAATACTTTCAAAATTTTAAATACGAAAATATAAAACCTTTATAAAAAAAATATTAACTTTGTGCAGGTAATCTGGATCTACGTGAAGAGACTATTGGGGATTTGTTGGCAGCAGCTTGTTTCTTACAAATCACTGAAGCATCACAAGCATGTGAAAGATTTCTAACTAAACGCTTAGATGCAACAAACTGTCTAAGTATGTCACGTTTAAGTGAACAGTATGGATGTGAGTTGCTGAGGAAGCGTTCGACAAAATTTGTATTGGTAAGTTAGTGTTTAATGCATTTTTCATATTCCCACAAACGGCGAAGTGACGAACAAACCATCAAGATGTATAAATATAATGAGAATTAAGTAAGGTTAAGGCTATAATTTAATCGGTGTGAACTTTTATGATTACTATTATTATTATTATTTCTCCCTTGGGTTCCTAATGGAACATAGAGCTTCAGCAGCACTTCTCCAGTGCACTCTCTTCTCCGCAATCTTTTCAACCTGGCTACACGACAGCCCACAAGCTCTCATTTCTTCCTCACAACATCTCTTCCATGTCACTCTCAGCTGAAACGCCCAACTCGTCACTTCCCATCTGGGCTCCACTCGAGGGACTGGCCTGGTGCATGATGTCCCCACTCAGCCTTCTCAGTCTATGCCCAATCCATCTCCATTTCCTCCTACTGCATGTTTGTTGAGTGATAGGTTCTTGGTTAGTTCATTTACAGAGTCCCCTGCTGCTTATTCTTATTATTCTGGCCATCCATCTGATCTTCAGTATCGAGTCAGAGTAGGCAGTTGTTGATGAATGTCTGTAGTTTGTTGGGAATCCCTTTCATAACGCGCCAAGTCTCTAGACCATCACATGAAACCACTGACTTGACCGAATTGGTGTTGAAAATCAGGATGTTGTTCACGCTTTATGTTGAGTGCAGAAGATCTCCACACTGGTTTCAGGTTAATGAACGCCTGTCTTGCTGTTTCTCCGATCCTGGGTTTGACGTCCTCGTCTGTGCCTGTGCCGCCTGTAGTTGAAACAGTGCTGCCTAGTTGGTGGATGAAAGAGGCTACTTCGTTTAAGTTCCTCCCATCTATGGTGATTGGAGTTTCTTGTTGTTGTTGTTGGTGGTGGTGGTGGTGGCGTTGGTTGGGCATCTTCATCACCTCTATCTTCTCTGCTTCCACTTGAGGTCCCATCTTCGCTACCTCAGCTCTTCTGTCAACTTCTTACTTTTCACATGTACATCTTCAAGTTTGTGTGACATTAGACACAAGTCATCACTGGCGAAATCCAAATCTTCTAGGTTTTTTTCCCAGTCCAGACAGCGTATCCCCCTCTTCTCACAGCTCATCACTGTTTCTTGCATGATCCAGTTCAGTCCACTATAGTCAGGAATATCATGGGTGATAGTAGGCAGCAGCCTTGTTTCACTCATGTCTTCACTTCACTTCAGAGGCATCACTGAGCTTCCCATTGTGAATTACTTGGCTGGTATGTGGCATGCGTCTTCATATAGTTGTTGAATGAGGCTGATATTGGTTTGTGGTATTGCGTAGTGTTGAAGCAACAGCCTGACAAACTACTTCTCGGTCGACGCTGTCGAATGCCGGCCTTTTCAAAGTCGATGAGGTTGAGGTGTAGAGTTGACTGCCATTCTATACTCTGTTCTATGATGATGAGTAGCGTAGCCTTGCAATTTGATCCACACATGATTTGTACTTCCTGGATGCAGTCAACCGGCCTGTTTCGGTCGTAGTTTTGAATCCAGTGCATCCTTCAGTCTCTCCAGGATGATGTGGCTTAATATTTTGCGTGCTCTGGGTGGACAGGAGTGCGATTCCGCGCCAGTTCTTGCAAAGACTTAGGTCGCCCTTTTTCGGTAGTTTGACAAGGTGGCCCTTCTTACAATCAATGGGCAGGTATCTTTCCTTCCTTCACTTCAGACCTTCTACAATGGTGGTGTGGTATGAGCATGTCGGCTGTTGTCTCTCCGTCTGTTCTCAATGCTTCTGGTGGGATTACATCTGGTCCTGCGGCTTCCCTGCATTTCAGTAGCTTTATGGCGCTCAGGACTTCGACATTCGTCAGAGGCCTTTTGTTCACTTGTAGTTCTGTGAGTCGGCTACAGGTGGTATTTCTGGACGAAGTGCAGGTGGTGGTAGTGGTAGTGGTGGTCGATTCAAGAGCTTTTGGAGTCGTCAGCTCATCCTTTCCTTTGTTTCCCTTCTTTGGTCATTATATTTCCTTCATCAAGTTTTATTGGTTTCATCTGTGTTGATCTCTTCCCTCCCAGATAGTAACCTGGTTATTTGATACAATGTTGTCAGGTCTCTGTCTCTCCTACCAACCGGCAGCCTGTTCTGCTTCACTTGCCAGTGTGCCGTGGAAGTGTCTTTTGTTACTCTACACACCATTCTTCACTTCTTTGTCCAGCATAGTGTTTTATACATTGTACTCAGTTCCTCTTCTCGTCTTTCATCCATGCACTGCACTGGTTTACCTTCTGCTTCACCATCCTCCACTTCCTCCTCCATCAGCTTCCATGTACGCGTCGAGATCCATTCCTTGTATTAGCGCTTCTTCTTCCTTCCTAATACGCTTGTGCAGGTTTCTCTCCACATAGCTTTCAAAGACTCCCAATGTTCTTTCACACAGGTTTCTTCAGGGATGTTCCTCGTTGTCTCCCATTTTGTCTTGATGACTGACTGACGTGAAGATGTCCCTTGTACTTTCATTCTTCAGTCCAGTTTCTGGGTGGATGTTGAACTTGAACTGTGGTCTGTCACCAACTTCCTTGAAGGCTTTCAACTCGATTTGGACGGCAGGTTCCTTGCATTAGATAATGGTCTGAACCTACATCCACTCCTCTTCTTCACCTGGTGTCAAGTAGGCTGCGTATCCATCTCCACTTTCTTCACATTGAGATAAAGTCGATCTGATTTTTAGTGTAGTGTGTCCTGGTGTCTGGTGAAATCAAATCCATGTTGCTTTGTGGATATCCTTGTGTTTGAACACACTGCCTGACTCCAATCACCAAATCGTTGGATGCGCAGGAATCTGCAAACAATTCTCCATTCTCGTTCATCACCTCACCGAGTGCTTCTCGACTCACAGTTAGTTCTCTTCCTGTGTTGTCCGCTCCCACTTTGGCATTCATATATCCCCACCCATCAGAATGGATTTGATGTTGCCAACTGGAGTGGGGTTTTGTCCAGTGTTGATTTCAGTTGTCTGTAGAATTCCTCCTTCTTCTCTTCATCTGTATTATTTGTAGGTGCATAGTGTAGCATTGTATGATTTTGACCTTCCTTCCTTTTGAGTTGAACCTTGCTGTCATGATCCTGGAGGAGACTGGTTCCCACTGTATGAGAGAGAGCCTTCGATGCTCTTGGAGACATCATGATAGCCATTCGAAAACTCAGTATGCTGTGCTCGTGGTTGTCGTCTGGGTGACAATATCGAATAGATTATTGATTCTCTAGTTGACAGTTTGGACAGTCCACTTCCATTCCATCTGCTCTCGCAAATTCCTTACCCTTCAATGTGATACCCTCTCATCTCCTTTGCAATCTGAGCAGCCTTGCTAAGTTCAAACATGGTGTGGACATTCCATGTCCCCATGTTTACTTTTGATTTCATCGAGAGAGAGAGAAGATATATCGGCCAATTGGCTTCCCGAAGGCAGGCTTTCACCAACCGGCGTCATTTCGTGTCTCCGATTCCAGCGAGGAATAATTTTGTTTTAATTCTTTATATTTTGTTTGTGCTTCGAAGTTTTTTTTAATGGTTTGATAGGTTTTCTGGGGTAGGGTTGCTAGCCGTTCGCCCAATCCTCCCTCTTTATGTGGGCTTAGGACCGGCTAGTAACTAGTGAGCCAGTTAACCAGGCGAGGTTGAACTTTTATGATGCATTGTTCCAATGCAAATGTAGCTAGGATATCAATTCTAGTGTCTAAAAGCAAAATATTTTGTTTTTCACATGTTAGTTTGTGGGGATCAATTGATTTCTGAGTAATTCTAATCACAAAATGACGTCCACTAAATAAACACTGAGGAGGTGGAAATATCTGTTTCGTCCTAGTTTAGGAGCCCCCAGAACTGAGCAGTCAAGACCCCATGAAGGATTGAGCCCTGGATGGACTATCGAATCGCTCGCATTTCTCATTGATTAGCTGCTTTAAGATAGATTTTCCGAAGTTCTAATAACCTTTGACGTTAGTTAGTCAGAAAGTGGGGATAAATACTGACTAGCGGCGTTATATTGCAAATCGACAAAAGTAATAATAAGTGAAGCATTGAATACTTAACCAATGGATCAGTGGTAACGTGCTGTCTGCAACTGCTGATATTCTTGGGTGGACTCGACTCCTCTTGGAGTTATGAGCACACACTGCTGACGAGTTCTTAATTAAAATTAAATAGACTTCCATTGCTTTCAGGTTTTCAGTAACTTTCTGGCGGATATCAGTCCGTAATGAAAACTGCCCTGAAACAGTGGCTTTTGTTTAGATCATATTCTGTCAAATAGTTGGAAATACTTGTGTATGAAATTGCAATATGTTAAGAAAATGGTTTTATGATAAATATTCAGTCATTACGGCATGTCTAACTGATAGTTTTTTGAACAGACAACCAAGGATTCAGTATGATTTTGTCTATTCCTCAAATTTAATTAAATTCTATCGGTCAAGTCTGCAGTGTGGTCCATTGTTTTAGAGTTTATAACCTTAGGAGATTGTATCTAATTATCTAGTAGTTGAAAAAAGGAAGATCTGCTTCGTCTTGGTCTTTTGTTTATTGATACTTATCAAAAAAAAACACGTCTGCAACCTAAAGGTAACTAACTAATAATCTCTCGGATAGTTGAATGCACCTCATTCATCCAACATTAGGTAAATTCGATCACCGATTACACCTTATTATTCAGTAAACAGATTTCAGCCGTTTATGTTAGCTTAAGTGAAAACATTTTATTGGGTATAAACTTTAAATAGAAATAAAGATGTCCTCGATCTCTACATAAACATACCTCATTGCGCTGTTAGATATTAGGAGTGAATTGTCATGAAATCCTGCCCAACTTAAGTTTTCTCCTTGGTGGTATTCACTAACCCCTCCTGACGTCTAGAGCAGCCGTGACTCATTCGTTTGGAGAGGTAGCTTTCAGTCAATAGGTTAAGGGTTCGAAAATCGCCCTACCTCCAGAGGTTTGGGCGGCCAGGTAGTACCATTAGTCCTCGTACAATAGGTGTGGCTGATTGCCTACTGCATGAATGTGCACAGGGTAGTTGAGCGCACATCAATTTTAGGTTTTTTGATGTCTAGATAGTCAGATCTTCTTTATAAGTGACAAATTTGTAACTTAAATCAATTTTTTAATGAAAACAACTAGTATTCCTGTTTACTTTGATGTATGGTAATGTGATTTTCTACTTTTTAAGTATTCATCGAATTTGCTTGTGTGGTCTCATTTAAGTTGGATTTTCTGATTATCACTTAAACAGCAGATAGGATTTATCTAAACGTTTACAAAATTAACTAATGTAATTCATGGATTTTCATTTGACAAATTATTAAATGCATTATCGTTCATTACATTCGAGTATATTATTTCTTAATACAATAAACAAATACAGGAACACTTTTCTGATGTTGCCCAACAATCAGATTTTCTGAATCTCAGTTTCAAAGAACTTGTTGCATTGGTATCATCTGATCGTTTACGAGTTTCAAATGAGGCGACAGTATTTGCAGCCTGTTTAAGATGGACTAGAAATGCACGATCTCAAGACTACAGGCCAGAAAACGAAGGGAATGAATCATTATTGGCTAGTTTACTGAAATATGTACGACTAACACAATTACCTCCACGGTTACTGATTGGTTAGTTGATCATTATAGAATGTTACGTGTTTAATTTAAAATACTTTTTGAGTACTATACACCTTAAATTTATAAAGTAACACCTGCCTTTTTTAAACGAGTCAGAAAACATGAAGAGAATAATCCTAGGGGTAAGCATGATCCTGTTAAGAAAGACTCCTGTGTTGAGAATTTTGTTACCGAAAGTTCAGCTATTGGCTTGTAAAGAAGGTAGTTCAGATAATGGAATAATTTTGACCTTTGTAATAAACAGTATTCAGCCAGCTCCTGACATCTCATTACATGATAAAATCAATTTTATACTTCACCTTCAAATATCAGGTACTTTTCTATTTAACCTTCTTTTATATTCTGAATCCTGATGCAGTTTTACCAGAAATAATCTAGAGGAAGTTGTATGTGTTCACCTACAATGAATTTTACTCATTTCTGCGGTTAGTAAATTGTCTTTTCTTCATGAATGAGGAAATGTTTTCACTGAGATGAAGGCACATTCAACTGACGAGTGATTTCTGAACTCTACTGCTAACCCATTTCAACCAAGTTGCACAGTAATGAGTCTTAAGTTTGTTTCGAGGTGTGCTCAAAGGATTTCATCTGGAAACAGAGACTGTTTGATTTGGTTCAATATAATGATCAAGGGAAGTCGCAAGTGTCAATAAATAAAATAGTATTAATTACAATACTAATGAAAGCAAGGAATACTGTGTGACGTTTTCTTCCATAGACTATATTTCTTAACATTGATAGTTGGCTGCAAAGATAGATGGTGAAATAGAAGGGTCAGTATGCATACGATATAGCGTAGCATACCTATGTGGCTGGTGCTGTTCAAAACGAAAACTCAGTGATAATCAAGAAGACTTACCAATTAATCCTATTTCTTATCAAATCATATCATCAAACGAAATCAAAATGTTGCCTATATACAGTGAATTGAACTAAAAACAATACAAATAGAAATCATACAAGTGCAAATAAGCAAACGAACAAAACAGCTAATGACTTCTTGATATTGTAAGGCTGTCTTAGTACCGACCATATACGACTCCACATGAATATATACTTTCGGCATATTTTGGGACTGTACAAAGTTCGAACGGATCCCTACAATTAGAGTTAGATGGTGGCCATTTTGCATCGTAAATTGACCGATATAAGGAAGTGACAACTGATATGGTATATTGTACGACTAGATAACATCATACTCAACATGAAACCTAAAACTTTTGAGTTGAACAAAAGAAAGAATGAAGAGTTTACACTGTTGAGTATTATTACACCAGTAGAAAAATTTAGTTATTGTTTCCTATTTCTTAGGTGCTCCAGCAATGATTTCCCTTTGTGATGAAAAGGCCTCTTACACAGAACCTGTTTTTCCCTACTCTTTCCACTTAATAACTTTTCAGTGAAGCAGAATTGACCCATAGCTTAATATGTCGTTTAGGCTTCCACAAAAGGAAGTTACTAAAATAAAGTTTGGTAGACTGGGTGGTCAAGTTAATAAAAATATGATGACATGTTTGCTTTACACTTGAGATTTCTTGCAAACGATGTGACTACTAAGGTTTACTTACTCAGCAAGTTGTGTTCTATAACTTGGGGCGATTTTTACTTTGGCAAATTAGTGCTGTTTGCCTTGATACAACGTTTTTACGTCACAAATCAATATCTAGCATGCATGTAATTATTCCCTTACTTGGTCATATAGGGTAACAGACGGATTTCAACCAAAGATGAAATATAGATTTCAGATCCTAATAATAGCCATCAAAATGCAATACCAATGTTAGTGATATCTACAAAATTCTCAGCTGATAAACCTTTTTTGTGTTGATGTTATTTGGTTAGTTTTATCTTATACTCTTCAGATGCTTTGGAAAAGGAGACATTATTTCAAGAAGATCTTTTAGCGATACGTTTAGTTATATCTGCACTACGAGTACATTTCTCATCAGATTCATTCTATTCACAAATACATAAAACTCAAACAAGAACTAACTTGGACTGTTGTCTGAAGTACAACACAGCGACAGCAACAGCAAATAATACTGCTAATACCACTACTACTGCTACTAACAGTAACATTTGTAGTTTGAACAATAGTATACTTGATACAACAACATCATCCTTATCATCTCCGTCATCATTGTCTTCATCAGCTGATGACCAGTTAGCAAATGAACCAAAATCAATAAAAACTCTAACTCAACAACAGACAGAAGAAAATAATAGCCAAAGTTGCAGTTATCATCGGTATCATCACCATCATCGAGACCAACCTTATCAGTCTCCGCAGTTCAGTACAAGAGAAACAGAACATCAAATTATTAATAGTCATGAAAGTTATATGCTTATTACCAAACCAAGACCATCGACAATTGGACGTTTGTGGGCTCTTGGTGGGAAAACAATGACAACAACACGTGCATTACAAGAGATACTTGTAAGTGGATATTTTGAGGTAAAACTTGTAAACCGTAGTTTAATGATAGAATTTAACTATATATGAGAAGTAGCCATGGTAAGTTGCAATTATGTCATACATTTTGTGTTCAGGTATCACCATCAAAGTAAATACAATGAGTTCAAGTATACAAATGATTTGTGTATATAATCAGCGTAACTTTCTTCCTCGAAGTCAACACAAGAAAAGATTCTATGTTACGTCCTATTCTATCACCAAGAAAATTAACTATGAAGTGAAACTTTCTGAATCAACTGAATGAAATGTACTCAGCAGCCTTGTGTACATCCATGTAGTAGACAGTGAGCCAGACTTGTTGTGTGAGGGCTTATGATATTTATTGCCTGGTTGCTCAAACCTAGGTAGGTAGAGCGGGGCTCGAACCCGTGACCCGGTGGTTGAAAGCCATCGTCGTAAACCAATGAGCTGCTTCTAAACTCACAAATCGTGTTATGTTCATTCATCACAGAATAATGTGGTGTATTCTAGCTTCATATCAATCATGTAGTTTATGACAATTTTAAGGTGTACATGAAAGTGGGGTATGAATGATTTCAAGTAATAACATCTCTGAGACTGAAACTAATTATGTTTAGGTTCATTTATTGATGGATTAATCTGAAGTGTTCCAGCTCAGTAAGGGAAGCTCTTATGCATGTATACATGAAAGGATCATTGCAACATAACGGAACACTTGATGTATACACTTTAATTCACACTAGTTTTGACAGATTTCTTTTCGAAGGAAAAACATTTATGGTCTACCACCAACCCTCATTCTACTAACCTGAGATTGGAAATAATATTGTAGGTTATGATTGTTCAAAAATTTTTAATGAAAATGTTTAGGTATATTTAATAAGCAACTTCTGGTTTAGATCTCATCGGTTTATTCCTAACAGTACACGCACACACACACACTCAAGTTCACATTTCTTATCTAGTTAGCAACTTCTATTCACCCTTCTGCTTACTGAACGATCCTTGATGATCTTTGAACAGTTGTGTTAAGTGATAGGTTTAAACAAATGATTTTGTTACGATATAAGTAGTCAGTTGGTTTTTTAGAGAAACATGAACTGTAAACTAACTAAGTGGGGTTTCATTTTACCATCATTTCGTAAATGTCTCAACCAGAAGCTAACCCCAAAGGACATGCTTACAAGTTATGCAGATAGTAATCTTAGTTAGAAAGTAATAATTTCAATAATTGGTAGAAAGCTGGTATCGTGTCTTCAATCTCAGAATTTTAGCAATAAAATAATAATAGGAATATTTTTCCATAAATTTTTCAACATTTTCTAATAACTGGTGAATTCATATAATGTCAATGTATCTGTTATTACTTTAGAATTGAAAGCAATATAGACTTCTGAAGAGTAAATTAATGTGAATTACTCAAAGTTAATATATGAGGTCATTCCACATATGCAATTTTCTAATGAAGAAATCGCTAAAAGCTGTTCGATTATTATTATTATTACCACTATCAAAACTCAATCTAGTCAGCTGTTCAGTGTTTTAAAACATGTCATAGATATTAATTCTTTATTCAGATCAATTTCTGTACCAAGTTAAGAGTATGTAGACGAAACACTAGTATAAAATAACTTTGACATCATTAACCAAGTTATATGAATTTTCAATTTGATGGAAGATATTTTCATTCCATGATGTTTATTGTTTAAACTGATGTATGACACAGAATGTTATGCTGAGGTTAACAGAATTTCTATTATCTAACTAGACTTGATTCCAAAGATAAGAGATAAGACTTCAGCCATATTAAAAGATTTGGGGTAATAGTCCATAATGCATCATGTACATATATACTAAACAGAAATTTCCCGTCTGACGTCAGCCATCTATAGGAATAATAAAAGTGTCAATCAAAATGTTGTTGTTCAAATACACTATAAAAGATAAAATCTATTGAAATGAAGTATAAAGATTTGCTTTAAGTCAAATGACAGACTAAATGTTTTTAGTTTCTTATTCTTTTGTCCAATATTCATTTCATTTAAGATCGTCTTGCATCTGTATGGGGTAAAATATAACACAACATAAACAGAAGCAAATAACCTGAGATGAATACCAGTTTGTCCTTATGGTAAACATTTCAGAAAATAAAATCGAGTTATGTACAGTCACTGCTACAACCGAGTCAATTAGCAAACAATAGATTGTGAAATAAACAAACTAACCTGCTGTTACACTACAAATCAACATTAACTATGAGACCTTAGTAATCCTTTCCAATTTTACCTTGGTATTCATAACGGACTGATATCATTTGAAGAACCATCGAAAACCTGAGAGCAATAGGCAGTTCTGGTATAGACTCCTCAGTATTGCACACTATGGCCCCCGTCTGAGGTCAGGGAACCTAAGAGCTTCAAGTTTCTCAGCCAGCATGTTGCCACTGATACATTGGATTCGAATCCAATGGCCCAGACGTGACTTCAGGTATCATATGCAACAATTAATGCTTCTTTTTAATTTCACAGCTAATGGTTTTAGTGAATCAAGATCATTTGAACTAACCTTGTATTTAAAGCGAAAGCAAGTAGCTATCATGTTTTATTCTCAAACCCTTTATGAACCCTCTTGCACAAGTATTTTGATAATCAGAATTAAAAAACTTAAGTTTGATTCATGGGTAGTTTGAGCAATACTGATAGATATTTTGGAGACAAGTCATGAATTCTATAACTGAGTGAGCACTCTGAGGGGGTAATAACACCTAAAAATGCGAGGTTGGGTCATTCTACATTACAAACTAACTGAAACTTATGCTACTGGTTAATAGTAAACAAGTGGTTAGATTGACATGGAGATGACTTTGGAACCTGAGAGTTCTGAAGTCTAAAGCCACGAGAATACTGATAATTAATTAGACAGCTATTAGAAATTTCCTGTTTTTGCAGCTCTCTTATAACGTCTTTTAACTTGTGGTCAGATAAAACACAGATTTCTCTATGCTTTCCATTAATCTTGAAGATGTTACTTCACTAATCTATACTGTCTGGTTTCAGTCTATCCTAACTAACAGAAGGACTTTTAAGTGTCCATTCAACGTTTACTAAGTCTTGCGAATCATTTATCAAGATAAATATTCAAAACTGGCTTAACTCCTAAACTAACCAGTGAGAATATTCCGAGTTGTGCAAGAGAAGTCTATGGTTAGGAATTTAGGCTGAGTGACTGCTAACCACGAACACTGTATAACTGAACATAGATTGAAGTAGTTATCCTGCAAAAATTACCTTTCTAATTCCAAAAATGCCGGTTAATCTCATTTAATACATATTTTGTAAATATTTGTTTTTACATTCAACATAAAAGGAATATGATCCATATTGGAATACTTGGAGAACAATCGGCCAACTGCCTGGACAAAGACAACAATGTGGTTGTACTATATTAGTAGACGGGCGTCTGTTAGTCGTTGGTGGTCGAGATGAATTGAAGACGTTAAGTACAGTGGAATGTATCAATATTGAAGAAATGTCTCAAATTAATGAATTTAATGCAGAATATCAGAAAAAACTTAGCAATAAATCTCCACTGGAAACATCGTCAAGACCCAGGGCACTAAGGAATCGTTCGAGGCAGAACAGTGCTGATCGTAATGAAATTAGAACCAATACAAATAATCGTGATTTATGTATTGAGTCTAATGGCAACACTATTACTGGTTCCGCGGCCAATGCTGTTTCGACTTCTACGACTGCTGTTTATCGATCAGAACAGCAGATACAACATAATCCACTTAATTCTACTGCAACAAATAACAAAGAAACACAGAATAAAGAAGAGTATGGCAGTTGGAAGATCGTCTCAGCGATGGCAACACATCGGTAGGTTGTAGTAATAAAACCACATAATTTTTTTAGCGAAACGTTTACGGACGCATGTTCCATGAACGACGTTAAAGTTGGAATGTAAGGATAATACTCTTTGGATAGCAGCGACCCCTACTGAAACAAAACTCAACTCAGTGTTAATATTTTTCGGTGGAAGTTAGCAGTAAAACCAATGACTAGTACCTCGGACAGATGAAACCCTATTTCACTGTTAATATCTCTGTTTGAAGGGATTTGTTCTCAACTTATTGGTTATAGTCAGAAATCCTAATGAAGATCACATTAATAGTCTTGAAGTGAGGGCTGAGAATTCAGTTATTCCTGGACAGACAAACTCTTATTTGGGACTTATCAAAGGACAAGATTTGCAACTTGGAGTTCACTGATAGCGAACATTCATCCTTCCTATAGACTCTTGTTATTGCCAGTCTACCAATGGATGTCCGATGCAAAAATAAACTGTTCTATGATACATAACATTGATATGCACATCTTAATAACTACTTCTTTCATGTGATGACCAATGTGATGGAAAAAAATTTAATGCACAAGTTTCAAAATGCTCCTCATCATAGCTAAAACTTTAACCAGCTATCTTAGTTTCCCAGTAAAGGAAAAAACAACTTAGTGTAGTGATCACTTAAATCATCTTAGTGATCAACTAAAAGTAATCTCTATTGGAAACAACTGGACAAATATAATGACTCATCGTTTGAGCACGCTCAAGGACTTTACACATGAAATGGTTCGAGGATGTGTTACGTCTCAACAGAGATATAAGAAACAGACGACTAAAATGTCTTCTCATGCTCCAGTCAGACATGAGAACATCAACTTTGTTTTAAAGATAGGAGCAAACAGTCGCCCAGAGATACACTATCACCATTCCTACCCTTAATCAGCTTGAGTTTGTGATCAGTATACTGAAAAAACAGAAGTATAGGCGATCAACTCTGTCGTAACTGATGACTACCAAAAGGTAGTAACTATAAAAAAACTATCCTGAAATCAAAGTTGTGTAGTGATCTTGATGTTACTGTGAACAATAAATTATGCCCGAAACGTAATCCAGTAAACAATACTGTCACACTGTATGATAAATCTAATAAATCAATAAAAATGGAATTACATTCTAACACAGTGCACAAGTTTTACTCTTATATCCTGAAGTTACTGATACATCAATTCCTTCTCACGAAGCAACCAAAGATCAATTACGTAAATAGATGTAAATTTCAGAACTTTAGGCTGCATTTATAATATAGAATTGGCTGTGGTTAGGCATCAGCACTTAAAGAGAACGCCAGTCAATATTTGGATGAGGTTAGAGGTTTACTGATAAAATTTACATCTCCATCAATGCTAATAAACATGTCTAACAACTGCAAGACACTTGGCCTGAAGATTACATTTTGTCAAGAGATTCTGTGACGATCTGTTCCTCCTAACCTGATCATTAACATATGTGTTTCTTACTTCAAGTTCTATCAGTTAAAGCCACATACCGGTATAGGGGCGAATGGAAAGTTGTTACTGAATGGGATGGCAGTGGTTGGGATCGTATAAAGGACGTTCAATCTCATGACCAATGTTCAGTATTAAGAAGGAAACACTTGAGATGACTGTTGTCACATATGACTCTCATAAACGTGTGTGCATACAAACCCTATGACTCATCTAGAACACGTGTTCTGTATGTACTAAATGTAAGTACGTGTTCTAGAACTGCTTACATCGACAACTGGTTTTCCAACAATGAATGAAGTGACTGAGGATGCTAACTGCTTGTTTAACTTGGCGAGTTTCACTGTCCAAATGGAGTAATGGTCAACAATTCTAGTTAACAATAGAGCAAACCCAGTTAATGCCTGTGAATGTTATCATATACAAACTCAGTCCAGTACTAAAACTTACGCCAAATTATGGTTATTCTGCGAAATAGTCTATTATTTCTTTGGATCACTGAAAAAAGAAAACTTGAAAATAATAAAGGTATTTGTCTGTCATAATCTCTTCGGAATCGCTGGTGTGTGTCTGGACTACCGAGCGAATAGTGTCCCAATAAAACACAGAGTACACTAAGTGGCGATTGTCGAGCAACCAATCTCATGTCATTTAGTCCTGATTGCTGACCGAATTCTTCCTACTATTTTGCTATGTGGCCACCAACCTAGGGGGCTGACCATCGCATCGTGGTTCGCCTGAACGACTGTTTATTAGTTGGAGGCAATTGGCAGGAAGAGTCCTGTTGATTGCCTCCAACCAACTAAAAATTCATAGCACCAGACAGGAAAGCTACTTCTGTCAGTAATATAAATTTGCACAAAATGACATCATCTCTAACTACTGCCTATCTTTTGTTAGTTTTCTCCTTATGTGGTACTAAAAAATGGCTGGGCTTTGACTGAAGTTCGTCTTTCTTGATAACACCGTCTATTACTGTCTTTTGCAAATTTGTTGAAGGCAGTTTTAAGATTTATCTTGACATTATTTTCAGCTATGGACTATTCTGATACTTGTTTTCATAGTTGATTCAGCTGATGCACTCTGTTGCTGGAGGCATACATACGTAGTACCATAAGGTTTTAATCACTTCATTGATGATTCCTATTCATCTATGCGTTAAACACTGTTAGTCTATCAGCAGAAGGTTAGGAACCTAAGTTTCGTGCTTGTTGGTACTCATCAACAAGGCGTGTCCGCGAATATGAGAAAACTGGCACTCCCTCAAGTATTTAAACCAGTTCCACCCAGTGCCAGAGTAACAGGCTTCCAGACTAAGCTTTTCAGTTCATAACTAATCCCATGTAGAACTGGATCATGGACAAAAATTCATCATCACATTAAATAAATGTAAGTTGTTTGGACTTCTGGGAAATAGTACTTGTTCACAGGCTATGTAGGTTTTTAGGAGTGAATTCATTCATTTTTTCCCCCTGATAACTTCTTAAAAGAGTAGTTTTAAATAATCTTCCCAGCAAAAAAATAGAAAAATAGTCAGTTCGTATGTCAGGATACTTAATGCCCCATTTGGAAATGTTTAAACTTGTTTACACTACGCTCATATCATTCTAAAGTATTAAATTAATGAAGCTAAACTATGGAAAGTGCAATTTATCTTCATGAAATATAAACAAATAACATCTTTAAAAACAGAAATCAAAAGCTTATGTTTTTATTTTTACAATAGATATTTAATGTTTATACATGATAACTAAGTAAATAGATCTCATTTTGTTTGCCTGAGATGTTTCGAGTAAATCTTAGAGCAGTTTCTGTCAGATATTGATGTTATTCAGATGAGTGATAAAAATCAAGTAGATTTGGCGATAAGTTGAGTCATACCATACAAATCACTAACGGAATGCCTCCAACACAAAGCTTATAGTCCCCAAGTTATTTGGCATTTAAGTAAACAGACCTTCAGGTCACCTTTTAATTTTCATATAATTTATGAATCGTTCAGTCCGTGTGAGGATACTTCTCAGTCTCTAATAGTTAGTAGTGTGAAAAACACTTCAAATGAAAACCTGGGTTTCTGAAAGAATATATGTACACGTCCTAGTATCACATGAGGAAAACGAATATATCATTATATATCAAAATTTGATTCAGTCAGAGTACACCAGTAACGTTTCCAGTGCAGAGGAAGAAGACTATCAGCTCGATCATGAGATGAGACATGGCACAAACCAGTGAGGAGCGTGAGTATAAAACAAAACATTTCTTAAGAATTCTCTGATTTTCAATATAGTTCTTTGGGGACTGAATATCTCTACCGATATCAGAAATCTATGTTCCACTAACTCAAAATAGACTTATACTAGTTTTTGGAATGAATTATTTTCCTCTTCACTGACTTGTTGATTTGAGCAGGATAATTTGTGTTGACATATGGACTATTTGTTCAGATACCTTGATATTCTCAGGAATCACGTCTCCGTCATATGTTCGATTCGAGGCTGAGTTAGAGAGTTGAAATATAATATACAGCTGACAAGACTCAGAGAGATCGAAATGTGCACCTTGTATTCCACTACTAGCTGCACCACGATAAAATCAGGACTCATGTTAATTGCAAGTTACTGATGGAAGATTACTTCATGAATTAATTGCAAATGTGAGTGTCAATAAAGCTGTTAGGAGTCAGCGATCTCATACAAGACTACAGCACTTTTTTTTACTGGGAGTTATAATATTTTACCAAAACTGTAAGTTGTTTTCTTACGATATTATCAAGAAAGTTCTCTGTAGCTTCAAGAGTTTAGTGTTTTTAGCATACAGGATACCTTTTGTAATTAATCAAGGTGATTCATGATGTTGTCAGGAAAGTGGAAAGTATGAACAAAGCTTCCATTATTTTCTTAGTAAACTTCTGAACATAAAAAATGCCAAACACAGAATTATGCAGCCTCCCAAGGATTCAAAGCAAATTTGAGTATTTAGTTCACCGTGTTTATATTTATAAGAAATGTGCGTATTTTTCCTTTATTGACTTTTGAATTTTGATTTTCCAGACATGGGCTTGGTGTAGCAGTCTTAGAAGGTGTTGTTTATGCAGTTGGTGGGCATGATGGATGGTCTTATTTGAATACTGTAGAAAGGTGGAATGGTAAAGCTAAGGCCTGGTCTCCCGTTACTCCTATGGCTGTTCAACGTAGCACCGTTGGAGTTGCTGTTCTTGAAGGACTGTAAGTTCTGTAGTCACTAATTTTTATATATATATATATATATATATATATATATATATTCTGATCTACATGGGATAATTCACCTTTGATGAAAGAATTTTTGTGATTCAGTTAGCTTTGATTTAAAGTGTGTACTCAGAAGCATATTCACTAACATTTCTATCATTACGCATCTACGTGGAAGATACAGGAGTAAGCATTTATGTTTCCACTTCCTTTTTCAAGATATCTAAGTTGTGATTAGTCGTAACAACTGTTGTGCATAACTCTGAAGTAAAACCGCTGAACAGACTGCGGGAAAATACTGAGTGGCGTTATAGGATGCTTATGTGCCATAGATTTGACGCTAAGAATTGTTGAGATAGTTTACTGCCAAGTTTTTCATCGGCCATTTTGTTCGATGCTGATTTAGGATGTACTAAGTTTTAAAATCTGACGTAAATTTACATTTTATTGTATCAACACTATCGTAAAATTATTTTTAATATCAAACTGCTGAAATGATAGTGAATTAACTTCCCCTCAGAAAAATGTCTGAATCCTTCCGACCTTAAATATGCGTTGGAATAAGTTTTAAATGGTTTCGATGTTACTGTTTATAAATCCCTATCGTTGATTAGACTGAACTTATTGGCCATTATTGGATGTGGGCTCCTGTAAGGTGGCCCCAATATTGTTGGTATTTTTAGCTTTTGACATTAATGATAAGTAGTGCCTAGCAGTGGGATCTGGGAGAGGCGTCCCGTTATATTTGGGATTTGTCAGCTGGATGAACCCCCCCCCCCCCAGTGGGTAGTTTTAGTCCCACTAGGACTCGAACCCGAAACTGATTGCTTCAAACGCCAGAGCGTTATCCGCTAGGCCACCACTTCTTGTGCGATGTGTATAGTTTCTATGTTTTCGCTTGTACTATCCTATCTCTAACTCTACCAAATCGATGCCTTGATATTGCTTGTCGTTTCAATTTTATAGTGACGCGGATATCCACCTGATGCATCCTGTTAAAACGAAACACGCGTCTCGGATTCCACCCCTAATCCCTACTCATCATTATTACCACAAAAGTAAAACGACCGGCAATTTCGAGGCATTCGCTTAGGAACCCACGTGACCATACAGACTGATCAGTTTTGTCCAATCAACCACGTGATTATACAAGCAACAAAATAAATTTGTAAGGATGCCTCATATTGATTTGTTATCGATTTCAGCAAAGGTTATTGAGCAGTGTAATGGCTCCAAGTTTTACGTTTTCAAAGAGTGGTTATCCGGTGTTCCATACTTTTATGTACGATTGTTGAATTAAATACTTAGTCAGTCACTTACTATATTTATGAATGATTTGAAGTAAGCTCTTAAATTTCTATTTGAGTTTAAGCTAGTAATTAGTTTTTCACTTCTGAAAAGGGCTACAAGTTTTTCTTGTAATAACCCCTATTATTGGAAGGTAACTACAAGTTTCTCAAATGGTATAAAACATTTACTCAAAGGATAAGATAGCCTATGGTTATTCATTCAGTGATGTTGTAAGTTTGAATCATGAGAGCATTAGTTCTGAGGATTAAAGCTTTCCCGGGTATTAAGTGAATTTTATAACAGCCTAAAGTTGTTTTAACAGCCATCAAGACTACAAAACATCCAGGGGTTATTATGTTTTGCATTAGGAAGAACGTTATTCAGAGGTAGTATTCATCACGAACTGGCATCAGTTGGGGAACCACTAAAAGTCTAGGAGCGCCAGACAGTTGCTCCGTCCTAGTATGGGACTCAGCAGTACGCACCAACGAACTGACTAAGGATCGAACTCGGGACCTTCAGGTTTCACGACGAACGGGTTTACCATTCAGACACTGGGTCGGTTTTCAGTGGTTCACAGTCTCCAGCTTGTGTCAATTCACGATATAGCGCAACTACTTCCCAAGGTCTTCAGTTGGCATCCGCCTTCCTTTCGACTGGTTGACCTCACAGGCCACGGATTCTCACTAAAACTTCGTGATATTCATCTGCAAGCAGGTCATGAATTAGCACTATACAGTTGTGTATTTTTGAGATGAATGGGGATTTTTAATTTAGAGGTAAAATTCATCACCACCGTGACCTATGGGGTCAACACTTTGGAAGGGAAGCCGATGCCACCTAAAGACAATGTGTGACAGTCGCGCTGTATCATGAATTGACACAATCTGGAGACTGCGAACCACTAAAAACCGACTCAGTGGCTGAATGGTTAACGCGTTCGCCATGAAACCTGAAGGTACTGAGTGCGTTCCGTAGCCGGATCGTTGGTGTGTACTGCTAAGGAGTCCCATACTAGGACGGAGCAGCCGTCCTGTGCTCCCAGACTTTCAGTGACTTCCCAACTGATGTCAGTTCATGAGGAATACTATCTTTAAATTAAAAATTCCCATTCGTCTCAAAAATCTTTCCTGGTAAACTAGTTCACTAGGGCGAACGGCTAGCAACCCTACCCCAGAAAACCTATCAAACAACTAAACAAACTTCAAAGCACAAACAAAATATAAAGAATTAAAACAAAATTATTCCTCGCTGGAATCGGAGACACGAAATGACGCCGGTTGGTGAAAGCCTGCCTTCGGGAAGCCAATTGGTCGATATATCTTCTCTCTCTCTCGATGAAATCAAAAGTAAACATGGGGACATGGAATGTCCACACCATGTTTGAACTTAGCAAGGCTGCTCAGATTGCAAAGGAGATGAGAGGGTATCACATTGAAGGGTAAGGAATTTGCGAGAGCAGATGGAATGGAAGTGGACTGTCCAAACTGTCAACTAGAGAATCAATAATCTATTCGATATTGTCACCCAGACGACAACCGCGAGCACAGCATACTGAGTTTTCGAATGGCTATCATGATGTCTCCAAGAGCATCGAAGGCTCTCTCTCATACAGTGGGAACCAGTCTCCTCCAGGATCATGACAGCAAGGTTCAACTCAAAAGGAAGGAAGGTCAAAATCATACAATGCTACGCTGTGCACCTACAAATAATACAGATGAAGAGAAGAAGGAGGAATTCTACAGACAACTGCAATCAACACTGGACAAAACCCCACTCCAGTTGGCAACATCAAATCCATTCTGATGGGTGGGGATATATGAATGCCAAAGTGGGAGCGGACAACACAGGAAGAGAACTAACTGTGAGTCGAGAAGCACTCGGTGAGGTGATGAACGAGAATGGAGAATTGTTTGCAGATTCCTGCGCATCCAACGATTTGGTGATTGGAGTCAGGCAGTGTGTTCAAACACAAGGATATCCACAAAGCAACATGGATTTGATTTCACCAGACACCAGGACACACTACACTAAAAATCAGATCGACTTTATCTCAATGTGAAGAAAGTGGAGATGGATACGCAGCCTACTTGACACCAGGTGAAGAAGAGGAGTGGATGTAGGTTCAGACCATTATCTAATGCAAGGAACCTGCCGTCCAAATCGAGTTGAAAGCCTTCAAGGAAGTTGGTGACAGACCACAGTTCAAGTTCAACATCCACCCAGAAACTGGACTGAAGAATGAAAGTACAAGGGACATCTTCACGTCAGTCAGTCATCAAGACAAAATGGGAGACAACGAGGAACATCCCTGAAGAAACCTGTGTGAAAGAACATTGGGAGTCTTTGAAAGCTATGTGGAGAGAAACCTGCACAAGCGTATTAGGAAGGAAGAAGAAGCGCTAATACAAGGAATGGATCTCGACGCGTACATGGAAGCTGATGGAGGAGGAAGTGGAGGATGGTGAAGCAGAAGGTAAACCAGTGCAGTGCATGGATGAAAGACGAGAAGAGGAACTGAGTACAATGTATAAAACACTATGCTGGACAAAGAAGTGAAGAATGGTGTGTAGAGTAACAAAAGACACTTCCACGGCACACTGGCAAGTGAAGCAGAACAGGCTGCCGGTTGGTAGGAGAGACAGAGACCTGACAACATTGTATCAAATAACCAGGTTACTATCTGGGAGGGAAGAGATCAACACAGATGAAACCAATAAAACTTGATGAAGGAAATATAATGACCAAAGAAGGGAAACAAAGGAAAGGATGAGCTGACGACTCCAAAAGCTCTTGAATCGACCACCACTACCACTACCACCACCTGCACTTCGTCCAGAAATACCACCTGTAGCCGACTCACAGAACTACAAGTGAACAAAAGGCCTCTGACGAATGTCGAAGTCCTGAGCGCCATAAAGCTACTGAAATGCAGGGAAGCCGCAGGACCAGATGTAATCCCACCAGAAGCATTGAGAACAGACGGAGAGACAACAGCCGACATGCTCATACCACACCACCATTGTAGAAGGTCTGAAGTGAAGGAAGGAAAGATACCTGCCCATTGATTGTAAGAAGGGCCACCTTGTCAAACTACCGAAAAAGGGCGACCTAAGTCTTTGCAAGAACTGGCGCGGAATCACACTCCTGTCCACCCAGAGCACGCAAAATATTAAGCCACATCATCCTGGAGAGACTGAAGGATGCACTGGATTCAAAACTACGACCGAAACAGGCTGGTTGACTGCATCCAGGAAGTACAAATCATGTGTGGATCAAATTGCAAGGCTACGCTACTCATCATCATAGAACAGAGTATAGAATGGCAGTCAACTCTACACCTCAACCTCATCGACTTTGAAAAGGCCGGCATTCGACAGCGTCGACCGAGAAGTAGTTTGTCAGGCTGTTGCTTCAACACAACACTACGCAATACCACAAACCTTTATCAATCTCATTGAACAACTATATGAAGACGCCGCATGCCAGCCAAGTTATTCACAATGGGAAGCTCAGTGATGCCTCTGAAGTGAAGTGAAGACATGAGTGAAACAAGGTTGTCTACTATCACCCATGATATTCCTGATTGTAGTGGACTGAACTGGATGATGCAAGAAACAGTGAGGAGCTGTGAGAAGAGGGGGATACGCTGTCTGGACTGAGGAAAAGAACCTAGAAGATTTGGATTTCGCCAGTGATGACTTGTGTCTAATGTCACACAAACTTGAAGATGTACATGTGAAAAGTAAGAAGTTGACAGAAGAGCTGAGGTAGCGAAGATGGGACCTCAAGTGGAAGCAGAGAAGATAGAGGTGATGAAGATACTTAACCAACGCCACCACCACCACCACCACCAACAACAACAACAAGAAACTCCAATCACCATAGACGGGAGGAACTTAAACGAAGTAGCCTCTTTCATCCACCAACTAGGCAGCACTGTTTCAACTACAGGCGGCACAGGCACAGACGAGGACGTCAAACCCAGGATCGGAGAAACAGCAAGACAGGCGTTCATTAACCTGAAACCAATGTGGAGATTCTCAACACCAATTCAGTCAAGTCAGTGCTTCCATGTGATGTTTGAGAGACTTGGCGCGTTACGAAAGGGATTTCCAATAAACTAAAGACATTCATCAACAACTGCCTACTCTGGCTCGATACTGAAGATCAGATGAATTGGCAGAATAATAAGAATAAGCAGCAAGGGACTCTGTAAATGAACTAACCAAGAACCTATCACTCAACAAACATGCAGTAGGAGGAAATGGATATGGATTGGGCATAGACTGAGAAGGCTGAGTGGGGACATCATGCGCCAGGCCAGTCCCTCGAGTGGAGCCCAGATGGGAAGTGACGAGTTGGGCGTTTCAGCTGAGAGTGACATGGAGGAGTTGTTGTGAGGAAGAAATGAGAGCTTGTGGGCTGTCGTGTAGCCAGGTTGAAAAGATTGCGGAGAAGAGATTGCACTGGAGAAGTGCTACTGAAGCCCTTTTTTCCACTAGGAACCCATGGGACATATAATAAAATAATAATAATAAATTCATCTCAAAAACAGTTATTCACAGATACGTAACTTTCACTTTGATAGATATTCGTAACCTCAAACCTTTTAGGTGTGTTATTTATCTTCAAACTACTGGATCCAATCCAAGTTGCTGAAAATTCTTCTCACAGTAGTTTTATGGTAGAGACTAGTTGGTCTGTTTTTCACTGCCGCTATTCACTATTTTTTGTGTGAGTTGTTTCGAAAAAATGTATGGTTTTCATCATACAGAAATTATTACAAGGGGTGATGACAAAAATAGCGATTTCTAAATGGTTCCACAATTCCCAGGTTAAATTGTTCTCGTCATAATAGTGTTTGCAATCACATTTAGTTTGCTTTTTATTTCTGTTTTTGCCAAAAAAGAGTCGACAGGAATCAAATACAATATGTAGAAGGGTATCTTCACGCATCCTGTAAGAATCTTCTTCCAAGCAGCATGTGATATCTAGAAAAGAATGCAATTTATGACTGGAGAAAGTTTTATCATGTTCTCTTCCTCTCATTAGTGATTTATTGCTTTCATATTTTTATTCTTATTTTTAACGACTGTCTTCTTACCCCATCTGTCTATTCTCTACCTACCTTTTGCTTTCTAACTTTTTCGGAATAACACTAAGCCTATAAAACAGCATACATCGTTTACAAAGTTCACGTGAAGTGTTTCAAAACGAAACCATCACAACTTTAATATTCAGTTTATGAATTTTATGACCGATTAATAAGTGCATAGATGATTATACAAAGACTGTGATATTTCAAGATCATTTATTGGTCACACTGGTCATCAGTGGCTAGTCCTAAACCAGGTAAGTTTCTAAATATTTTGCCAAACATCCCGTTGTATCTAGAAGGATATTTTATGCTCCCTTTTCCGATTTATTGGATTGATCTTATTGGCCTTTCATAATTGATAAGTCTGTCCACATATGCCTTACTTACTAGGTTGACTTGAAGGTAGTTATCCTTGGCACCACTTCTACATTGAAGGCGGATAACTGTCAAATTTCGGACGAACTTGACATTGTTAGACAGAAAAATTAACTTGTTGACTGGGTTGTCCAAAATTAGGTGAGAAAAATGATATAACAGTTAGAGTAACTTAGAGTAGAAGCTATGAGTACTACAGTAACTAATTATTTCTGAAGACTGAATGTAACGCCATATTCCAGGTCACTATTTTCATTGGCATGCATATAAACTGACATGAGTAGACGATTTAATGACTTTGAAAAATAAAGGTACTGTCGCAAGTTTATAATATGGATTTCAAAACCTTAACCATCTAGGGTCGAACATTTTTGATGAAATTCTACATTTTACTTTCAAGTCAGATAATAGATTGTTTTCCTTATAATTACTTTTCACTTCTGCTTGACTATTTTCCTTATTACTAATAGAAAGTATTTTGCAGAGTTTGTTTGAATGTTAAAGTTGAGTCAACAGTTAACAGCTGACTATCATGAAGTGAAATTGAAGCCAAAGGTGATCATATAAATATTAAAAGTTTTATAAAATTGAACACCCACTGAACTGTCATGAGTTTGAAACAGTAAAACACAGAAATGTGTGAAACATTTGAACAATTCTTAGCTAACTATTGTCAACTTGACATTGCTTATCAGTCAAACTCTGGTATAAACTATGTTTATCTCAGTGAAATGTTTACACGCTGTAAGTAAAAACGAAAGGCTGACATCGTCGCTAATCAATTTAATCCTTACTGAATTACTCTAAATTCCAATGATTTCAGTTAAGTTCTACAGTGGAGCACGAATTTTCGGAGTTTAGAGGTATACTAAGTGTAAGAATGCCTAAAGACACTAAATCTACCTCTAAGACGCCCTAAGAGTTGATTATGATCAATAATTAGTTCATTGTTCTTATATCTCAGTATCATTCTTGTGACCTATAGTTTTTTCCAACCTACGCACCTATTCACCCGAAATATAATCTTGCCTAGCGAAACATATTTTATCTAAAGTGAAATGATATACTACGAATACTGAAAGTCCTGGATTAAATGTTAGAAGTTATGGAAAATGTCCATCTAATAAGCTTAAAAAAGGATTTAAAACCTTCAATTTTGTCATTTTAAGCCTGAAAAACGTTCATTTATTTCATCGTTATTTTTATGTAGATTATACGCTGTTGGTGGTCGAGATGGAAGTGCTTGTCTTCGAACTGTGGAAAGATTTAATCCACATACACAACATTGGTGTTTTATTGCTCCTATGCTACATCGTCGAGGTGGTGTTGGAGTAGGTGCTGTTGGTGGGCGTTTGTATGCAGTTGGTGGTCATAATGCACCACCTAATCAACCACATGCATTAAGAACAGCTAGTGTTGAAATGTATGAGCCACGTACTGACATGTGGACAGAAGTATGTGCTTTATCATCTCCAAGAGATTCTATAGCTGTGACTACACTTGGATATAAACTTTACGCTTTAGGTGGACATGATGGACAGACGTATACTGAACGTGTAGACGTTTACGATCCAGAAGAAAATAAATGGACTGAGGTAAGTTGATTCCTTGAAATAATTTGAAGCATCTGACTGTGTAGATAATCAGCACACTGTGTACGTGATTAAAGTTCAAAATGAAATTAATTGTTAACCAAAACATTATTCCAATTGCATATGTACAAAGATGATTTAGACAGTACGTCCATACTGTTCGAACAAGCACTGGTATTCAAGGGATACTAAGGAGATGTAACATCTTATTCTCAGCCTCGAAAGTATAACCTAACCACTATTCTATTTATCATAGCCCAGAATTCTGTTCAGGTAAAAATAAATTAATTTCAGGTAGCAATTCATCATGAAATTACATCAGTTGAAGTAACATTGGAAATCTGAGAGCACGGAACAGCTGTACCGTCCTAACATAAGACTTCTCACCGGTGCACACCCATGATCTCGCCCCATCAGAGATTGAACCGATGGTCAGCATGTTACCACTGAGCCACTGGGTTGGAATCCAGTGGTTCATATTTCGTACATCTGTTAGTTCACGATATAGAGCGACCTCCATCCAATGTTAACGCTTAGTAGCTGTCCTCATATCCGACTTGATTGGACCAATCGGTCACGACTTCTAACTGGAACTTCGAGAATCACCTTTCGAAGTTGGTCACAGATGAGCGCTAGATTAATTCAATCTACAGGATTGTGGAGTCCCTAACTAGGATGAAACAGCCTTCCAGTGCTCCCAGGTTTCCAATGTTCTTACAACTGGTGCCAGTCAATGATGAGTTCCAATAAATCACCATAAACCTCTAGATTGAAAAATAAATTGGTCGACAATAAGAATCAACAAGTCGTTCTATATCTCTAATATTATTACCATGTCGGAGAACTTGGATGACCATACGATTCTTGCTCCACTAAATCTTAAGAAAACCAGTAAGAGTTTAAAAAATGTATATCCAGTTACTTGTTATAAACGGGGTTTTGTTGAATTTAAATCCAATCTATTCATTAAACCTAAGAAGCAGTTTTTCAAACTCCCACAGTTTTTACTGGTTTTCTATTTGTAGTGAGAATTTGCCTTAAATCAACTAGAAATCAACAGATCCAATGGCTTCTAAATAATTTCAGTTTTTCTAAATAAAACTCGATTCGATAGACAACTGCTTCATTAACAAACGAGAACCTTTAGCTCTGAAATCAAATCATTAGTTTTCGGCAATAATAATATACATGTTACTGATTTGTTTGATAAACAATTTGATCTCAGCAATTTGAAGATACTATTGCCCTATCAGCTTTAATGAAATTACCAACGACTTGCTGTCAAAGATAGTTAAGAGATTATGGCATACATTAATTTCTAATTGTTTTTGGTTTTATATCAACTAACATTGACTTTAAACCATGATCAGCTTGAAATTTAAGTTGTATCTGTTATAAGGCTGAAAAGAAATGGGTAGACTGATAGTCACTTACCATTCTGTGGATAATTAATATGATTCTAATGAATTTAATTGTCTAGGAATTGTCGCAAATATATGTAGCTCAGGGTATGGATACGTCCAGAGTGAGCTAAGGTTTTATTTTGGAGACGCTACAATGTTATGCTAGACATCGTCATCAGTGAATTAGAGCTTCTGAAGCAGAATACATATCATTACAATACTTCAATAAAATGTTTTTCTATCAATATACAGTGGTTAGTCCAATCACCATCTATATATTCTTGCTTTGCCAAGTAATTTACCACAGAGTTCAAATTGGTTGGTTGAAAGAATTACAGAATACCTCATATTTCAGATTGTTTATCCATGAGAACTATGAATATCATGTTCAATTTTCATTGAATTAAATGCTGTCACAAATGGTTAGGGTCAAAACTAAAATACACCATGCGCCTATAAGCTCTTTCAACCTAAAGTTAATTCGCTTGGTTGTGATTCGAACTGTACGCTAAATTATATGAAGAATTTTTGCATTGACTATAATTATTGCAAAATATAGAGCCTCAGTTATAAAATGATTCAAATTAAGTTTTGCTTTGAAAAAGGAGTGAATTCCTATTGTCATAAAAGTAGCTACTGATGAGTAATGCGTCTAAAAATGATAGTTTTCATCGTAAAGTGCCATGGTTTACGGGAAATATAAAAGACCCTTAAGATATTTAAGATCTCCTTCATTGTATTTTAAGACTTTTTCATAAAAATGAACTTCAACTATTTCATTAAATCTCGTTGAGAACATTTACACCTTTCATTTTCATACTAAATTCAGTCATTGAGTTCAAACTCAACATTAATTGAATGATAAAGTTAAGTACATAATAATATTTGTAAAAATATATGAATTCTTTGACACCTTTACTACTCTTAACTCTTTATTTTCATTTGTTTCTATGTTGTTCAAATTATGATTTTTAGGCAGCTCCCCTACCAAGTGGACGTGCTGGAATCGCTGTAGCAGCCAGTGGTCCAGGTGTAACAGATGCAAATTCCAGTATCAAACTGTCATACCATAAAGTTGATCCACTTATATAATTCACAAAATGAAGCAATTACATAGCAGCAAAACAAAAATTTGAGATGAAAATTTCTTAAAACCTTAATTGTTTGTATATTATAACCTTTTCTTTTCAATGAATATGTTGATTAACTTGGGAATTTTTCAATCATGAAAATAATCAGTAAATTCTATTGAAGGCGTTTGACCAACTGCCCGCTTCTTGCGCAGTAAAATTACCCAGTTTTGACATATTCACTCATTTGGTTACCAAATAAAAATAAGTACTGAAAAAGAAACAGTCATGTGAAAGTTTTATCATTGTTAACAAACTCAGTGGTTCTTGATTACTTTACTGACACTTGGGTAGATTTTCGCTACTCAACTGTACTGTCAACAGAGTCTTCTATCTAGCCTATTCTTCAGATTTATATGCACTACATAGCTTTATCAGTGTTATGCAGTAGAGATCGTTTGTAAAAAGTTCGTAACAATTTATCATAAGAGCCTAATGCTACTCCCAATTTTTAAAACCATCTACATAGACAGAATAAGTTTGAGTACACCAGCTGCATCTTCACTGATGTGTGAGAAAAAAATGACCGTTCACTGCCAGCAATAGTCTCATACTTCTGAAAATGCCTCCTACATTTGACAGTGTGACTACCTTAAAACTACGGTCTTAGTACAAAATACAGTTTAAGTGAAATTTCCTGTACATCTATTACCACTTCGAGTTGTCGTAAGCATTCAGCAGGTACTCAAGTTATTAACAGACTGTACAATTTACCGCTGTTCATCTTGTCCTCAGATGAGCAAAATGACTGTCTACTGTTGAGATCACCGTGATCTAACCAGTGAAATCTGCAGATCAGAGTAACTACTTACTAACTTACTACACCATTCAGCAGTATGTTTCAATCTCCATGTTAACTTGGTTAATATGTTATGTTGGTCACCATGTATTGCAAATATGGTCAAAAAATGGTCATTTGAATGTTCATTACTGCCTGTATTTCAGTAATACGCATTACTGAACTACTAGTCTAAACTCAGCAATTTTTTGACTAACTCATATGAATACACACAAATTTCTCGTCTTTATTAAAGTGAGGTGAATTGAAAAGTGTTCGTTAACTTAACGTAGAACAGCATATTTGCTTCAGATCAATTTGTGAGAGATTAAATCCAAAAGATTACCTCAGAGTTATCGAAAGGGGAATTTATTTCTTTTGAATTCCAGTTGCGTATAAATTGACAAAATAACTGCTGAGCGTTCTATGCAAACGTAGTCTACAGTGCATAAAGCCAGAGACTGGAACTGTCAAAAGCGCCTAAATAGCTAATTAACCTTCTTAATTTAGGATCGAAACCATTATTTCATCGCCCAGAATTGATGGCACAAGTGAATCAGTGACCGAGTATGGTTTCAGGCGATGGGCTCATGCTAGTCAACCTCGATAAGAATCCTTCTCTGAGCTGACTTAGTTATATCTTAGGACGGGATCTCAAAATATAGATTACAAATACATAACTTATCAAGTTAACTGACTTTGGAAATGATAACCAATGGAATATCTTCAAACCTATGAGTTATTATTGGCAAGTAATGACAATCCGTGTGAGACTTCCGTGACGTCTCAAGTCAGTAGTCTAAATCGCACTGTGCACTGTTGATAAAATCTGCACAAACACGGGTACTTATTGGAAAGCCCCATCACAATGAGATAAAACATCTATTTCCAAATAGCTAATTTCATATGGATATATTCAAGCAAAATGCACTTAAAACGATCAACTGATGTCTTTAAAAACGTTTCTTTACATTATTTCAATTATTCTTCTAAATATTCAGTTTCCTTATTTTATTGACATTAACCCAACTAGTGTTTCTATTCCGTACTTCCAAATAGTTAGTATAACGAATTCATTAACTGTATGAAGGACATTGGTGCACATTTTATGACTATAAAGAGATTTGGTCAACATGAATGTCTTAAATTCAGTACATACTAAACTTTCCTTGTGTTTATTCTTGTTATTAATACTGCTACTAGTTGGTGTTGTCAGTGTTAGGTAGTTCTGAATAAGTCACAAAAAAAAATTGTGAATTTGAAAGGCATTTTTTGCGGTTATTAGGTAGTAGATTATTGGGAAGCAAAGGATTAAAAACTAGATGTTATTTCATTTGTTAGGCAGAAAGCATCAATCAGAAAAGCACAGTCAAAAATTTAGTCTTTCTAGACTAAATTTAGAATATAGCTTTGACCTTCTGTACATATAGGAACAGTAACTCTTTTCAAAAGAAGCTTACAAATGTTTCATCATTGGCTAGATCAAATTACCGCCCAAAATTTAAGGTAACCTTAAAATTAACAATGTTTAGCCTCAATAAAACAGTTTCAAATAATTGAGATTGATCATTTCTTGAGGTCCTCAATTGCTTTGGCTAAGATGTCTGACATATATGCTGTTCTGACCAGTACACGCGTACTCGGAGGTTCACTGACGTGCTGAAAGATACTAGGCTAGGACTAGCCTGGAAGTGGACAAAATATGAGTTTCTAGAAAGTAAAGATGAATCCTATTCACTTTTTATCTAAGAATTGACGAATAAAGTATTATGGACATTAATTTATTTGTTCAACGATTGCTAACCTGACTCATGGCGGCAAATGAGGCGATTATAGAAATAATATTTGAAACAAGCAGAAATGAACAGTCACATGCCTTATTCAAGTGAAATAAAGTTACCTGAGGAAAGCACTTATTACAGCTTTTTTTTAAAGTGTATTTAGTCAATTTTTAAAATTTATATTAATTACAAGGGCTTTATTTGTTCCATATTATCCACTTGTCCAGCCCCACGATTTTAGTTTCTGTACATTTTGAATCATACCCCTCCTCCGCAATCAGTTAGATCTGCTCATTTGAACCTAATTTTTTTAAAAGATACAACTCAAATCTTCCGCGTAAACTCAGCGTGAAATTCTGAGTAAAAAAAACATATTTGCAAGTCGGTCAAGGCACAAAAGGTTCACATGCATCATTTATGAGAAAGTCTAAAACAAAGGAGTCCCAACATTTTAATTACCATTGACTAGTGTTTAATTACTAATCGGATCAAATCCCCCTCCTTCCTCAAGGTTAGTCATTGACACGGTGAAGAATGTTCACCGTTGAAAAAAAAAAGAAAATCAGTCGGAAAAAACTTTGTTTCCCAATGACGTCATTTTTCTAGAGTTGAGCAATTATATTTTTATATGTTGCAAGCAAGTAACAGTCTGTTGTTGAGTTATTATTATTCACAGTTGCATTACTTCAACAATGTTCAATTCAGTTTTCAGAGGTGGTGATAAATTACGTGATAATTTAGAGAAAAAAGAAATTTAAATGAAAATTATGGAATTTCGTCAGCCGAGAATTGTTTTGAAGTGTGAATAAATACAGTATTGATGGACGGTGGTTAGTAGTGGGATATATATATACATATATATATATATATATATATATATATATATATATATATATATATATATATAGTGACTCATTTTGCAGGTTTTACCTGCCTATAAGCGAGTGGTGCTATTCCCACTGAGACGCAAACCCACAGTACTTATCTGCACAGGAACCGAAATGTCAGTAGCAGTTATAAAACAAATCAAGAAGAAAAAAGGACCATATTAAAGGTGATCATAAATATGCTATTAAACAGTTTTAGTGGCCAGAAACCATTTAGACCAACCAGATTAGAATGACTAAGCACCGGCCTGCCTTTTCGTTCGTTCGGACATATAGCTGATGAGCTCGGCCTAAACAAACAAAATGGATGGCCAGTGTTAACATCACTCTGATTTGGCTGACGAAAGTAACAGATCAGCCTGAATGCTGTTTAATTACTCAATTTCTTTAGTACTATATTGCGTTAGTTCACGTCAGACGTCACATCCTGTGATCTCGTTTGGGTGGTTTTCAAGAGAAGCCTTGTTGATCCCACAGTTCAACAGTCAATGAACTACTCAGCTGTAAAAAATGCCAAAGTAAATCATGCAATTTGTAAGTCGTTTTCAAAGGTGATAAGAGTTAACTGACTATTTTTAACTGAATTTACGTGAGCGAATGAGGAATTAATACTGCAGCTGGATTACAGAATACAACTTGTTTATTTTGCTCACAAATGCTACTTTTCTGTTGATGGACTCACAACGCTTCTATCTTGTAAAAGTTGTTGAACCAAGACTACTCAGTGTTAACTTTAATTATATAGTTCGTTTAAAAGCTACTCTTTGGAGAAGCTACACAGGTCAAAACTGACTAGATTTTAGAAAATGTAATGAAAATCCATGCAGCGTGATGTACATTTGCGTTTTGAAAGTAAAAGTTTTTGCCCACTGAAGAAAATTTGTATTTCATTCGAAAAGAATATCCTTAACTATGTGATTAATTAGTCTTTGAAAATTTCAGTTTGAGTATTACTCCTATAATTGAGTATCATAAGCAGAGTCTTCTTCGGAACTGTGTTTATCTGCTCATTTTTTTACGTGGTCTTCAACTGTTGCCCAGTTAAACTGTATACAATCCATTTCACGAATAGTTGTCGAAGTTTATCAAACTCATCCTCACCTGTATCATTTGTGAATGTTCTTTCGATTACTGTTGATGCTAAAAGGACTAAACTTCCGTTTCTGTCAGTGAAACGCCAGATGATGACTGCGATACGACACCATTTGTTTTTCTACGCAGTTTATCCTTGAATTTGAACTAAAAGTTGGAATTACAAATAAGAAGTAGTCCTTTCAAATAATGTTGCTCCTAGCTGTCACTAAAGTTATCTCCTGTAAACCACACAGAAGACAAACGGTTTTGGCATATGAAACACTGATTAACCACAAAACCACATCTATAGAAAGCATTCGAATTACATTAAAGCTGTCTCAATGCGAAACTCTATTATATGAGTTAATCAAAACGTTGGAGCACTGAGGTTCACAAGGTATTCAACCCAGATATGATACTGAATGTACTTCTTTTCAACAAAGTGATATTATCATGAAGTGAAGTTTTAGTGATCAGTCGATAAAAACACTACTTAATAGTTGTCAGCATCAATTTTCATTAATCATTGTTGTGCATCATTCAGTAATGAGGTCGGTCAAAACTTTAGCCAAGATGTCAGACGGGTAGAAATTACACGATGCAGACCTTAATTTATGTCCAAAGAAGCTTCATGAAAAGATTTTAAGTTAAAATAACGCAATGAATTACCACTTTGTAGAGGTCTTTAAAAATTCCAAACTTTCAAACTGCTAGAGGACCTTCAGGAACATTAGAGTTCTGTGAGTCACGAGTGCAGATAAACAACTACTAATTACACTCAATGTACAACTGCACCAATCAGCTGAACAGTATCGAATATT